TAAAATATCAAATTGAACCGTCATACGAATTCAGGCTGAAAAAATTTCTATGATGTTGTGTAACTAGAAAGTTTTCCGAGCCCGTGGTGCACTCGGGAGAGTGCGGCACTGGGAGCGCAGTAGCGCTCCCACGGCGGGGTCGGATCCTATATAAGGATGACCAGTGCGCTCACAGCACTCACTGGCTGAGTGCAGTGTGGCCGGTCTCAAAAAAAAGGACAAAAAAAAAAAAAAAAAAAGAAAGTTTCAAGGACAGCAGGAAACAGAGGAAGTCTGAGAATAGCATGACTGCCCCCTGCCTCAGAAGTGGAGACTGACCCCAGACCACCACAAACCAGCAACACAGGGGAAGAAACTAGCACCCAGGAGTTTAACTACTGGTTCCTCTTTGACAGCTGGCAGCTGGCAGCCCCTTCCCCAACACTGACTCATATATTGAAAGAATATGATGCTCTTAGTTTACTAAGGAACATTTTATGTTGTTGACATCCAGCGTGCACATTGTGGAACTCAGTTTCTGTCAACAGAACTTCTTTAAGACTTTAAATGTAGCCCTGGGACTCATTAGAGAAAAGTCTAAATATACTTGTGCCTTCTCTAGTGCCACTCCTGGGGATCATCCGTGAATCTTATAATGATGTCTTTTTAGAGTATAAGAAAGTAGAATTTCCTTGTGACAAAAGTTTGTCCTTTAACCATCAATCCATAGTGTAGTATTATAATAACAGTCCACTTTATCTAGATTTTTTAATGAGCTATGTATTATCGTAAAGTAATACTCCAGAAATTATTCTAGTCATAACATTTTCCTAAATAATTATTATCAAAGTCTGACTCTGTCCCATTGCCTGTCTTAGTGAACAAAGTTTTGTCCCACCCCACCCTCACCCTACCAAACAAAAAATATAAATACTCGAATGTAGACAGGCTTTAATTTTAGAACTTATCAATGGGAAGATTTTACATATAAACTATGCTACATGGAAAGAAATTTCCTATATAAACATTGAACAAATTCTAATTGGCCAGTGCTGTGATAGGTCCTGAGGAGAATATACAAGTCTACCCTGCCCTAGATAAACTCTGTATTTAGTTGAGGACAAAAGATTACAAAGATGAGAGTTAATGAACCATATAAGAAAATAATAAAATAGAGGGCTAACTTGTATTGCATAAGCTATAGGTGGGTGGAATCTTATGAACCATATGTAAAGATAGAGTTGATACTGTTTGCTACCTACTGGGTGGTCAGAAAACTTTGTTGCTGATAAAAATACTAGCATCATGGTTGCCTGCTCAAATCCTTTTTGAAATTAAAAAGAAAGTCAATCAGTCAAATATCACATTGTGTCTCAATTTGAAATAGCTTAGAAAAGATATTGCTTTTACTTTCACTGGGACATAAAGCAGTTTTATTCCTAGCCTTACTCATTCCTCATCAAAAATGTATAGACAATGCTTTTCTGATGCAAAGTAAATTGAAAATAGACAAAATAATAGTAATAGCAGTTATAAATGTTATAATGGATCTTAAGAGAGATCTTAACTAATATTTTTATGGTGAGTTAAATTTCTTTAAGAGCTTATTTATGATGTTTTATACAAATTTTTCATGAAAAACACATTTATATATGATATATATCTCCTATATATGTACATACATATATATAAATGATATCAATGAATCCCACCCTGAAACATAAGTACTTTTTCATTTCCTTTCTGAGTGGCAGACCTGAGCAACTATGGCATAAATAGTATAAACAAAGTGTCATTCTTGGTCACCAAGATTTTGAAATTAATTACAGAAGAATAGGAAGTTGTATTAGTGATTGTACCAGATAAATGGTAATAATGTTGATTTTCAAAAATACCTATGAACTAAGAGTAAATGGATATCCAGTGCAAATATGTACTCTGTTTCTTCTGAAAGTATACTAAAATGAATAAACATGAACACAAGAACTTGGTAAGCCTCATCTAATTTATATTCTTGGGACATTTCTTTTATCATCAAAGAATTAGTCATGGTTTTTCGTATTTTAATATTATGGGCATCATGGCTATTTAAATAAAAATTAATTAATACTAATAATTTAAAAGCATTCATTTATTCATAAGCCTTCACATCTAATTATATGTTTGAAGGTGAAGATTTTTTTAAATGATTTTTTCACTTTATTTTTCTGAAATCACCATCATTGACTTGATAGTCATATCTTTTGTCTAAGAATACATTTCAGTACTTTTAAGTATAAATTATCATGTGATCTTTCCTCTGTGCAAAAAAAAAAAAAAAAAGATAAATAATGCTAGTTAGCAGTATCACAAGAATAATATTAGTGTAAATTACGACCTGAGGGAAATTACTACTCACCTTCTATAAAACTGGTTCCCCCCCCAACACCCAGCCCTCAAGATTACTGGAAGGATCAGATGACTTAATGCATGCAGGGGCCTTACTCAATACAGTGACTGCCACACAGTCATTCGACAGATGTCATTCGCCCTCTCACCCTTCTTCATAAAATGATGAGGTCCTGGTTGTTATAGGTCTGTTCAATATCACCTGCACAATGTCCACCACGGTAAATGAGTTAAAAGAGATAGTGATGAAAGTGTGGATTCTATGTTACAGTCGGCATAAATGCACAATGAGAGGGACTATTAATTTATGATTCCTCGTGCATCAAATACTATATTCTATTTCACCAAATTTTCCCCACAGATTCCCCAGAGACATATTCGCAGCATGCACAGTCTCTGGATGGCACCACCAGCAGCTCCATGCCACTGTACAGATCCTCAGAGGAAGAGAAGAGAGTGACGGTCATCAAAGCCCCGCATTACCCGGGCATTGGGCCCGTGGATGAATCTGGAATCCCCACAGCAATTAGAACGGTAGGAAATGCCAGCGTGTGCGTCGCTCTGGATCTGAGCACAGACTCCACAAAGGATGGATTGTCTAAGGCTTTGTGCATTCCTAGAGTCTTATATAATGAGGACTGCCCTCTGTGCCATCTGAGTTCTCATGAATATTATGCTGTGTGGCAGAGAAAGAACTGTCAATTGAAGAGAATTACGTAGTTTTTCTATTTTAATTAAAAATCATGAAAATTGCGATTTTGTTGATCAATAAAACTATGCCATGTGTTTTTTGTTTTTTGTCTTTTTACCTTTTACCAAGGAGGGGTAGGGCACTGGAAAGAAAAGAGAAGGAACAACAAAATATGGATTCTTTGGCTGCATTGAATTCTCACGTGCATTGTCAATAAACCAGTGATTTGTTTCTTGAAATGGATGTTTGTGAACAGCAGGAGATTGAGAGCTGTGAATTGGGAGTTAGGAGGTGAGATGATTGGAGTGAAGGGAGTTAATGTCAAAGAAAGGAAAAACTATCTGAAGAAAAATACACATTTCAGTGTCCCTCTTCAGCTGTGCCTGCTGAGAGCTTGATAAGTGAAAGTGTTTGGATTTTTTTTTTTTTTTTCAGTCTTTAAACTCTGCCAAAGCATTGCTCAGTGTGTCAGGGCAGCCCCTTCTGGCAAAGCTTAGTGGTAGCAAAGGCAGCTATTGAGAGCCTGGCAGGCAGCTGCTAGCTGACCAAGTCCACTTGAAGAGAAGGTCTGTGCTAGCCGGGAGGAGGAAGCCGGGGAAGCCAGGATGAGAGCCACAACACCTTTGCAGGTGAAGTTTGGGAGAGGTGCGCGTAGGGAGCTCTGGCTGCATGTACTTTGCCTGCAATACCCACATAAAGGGCTGGGGTACTGCCAAAAGCTGCCTCCCTGGAATGCAAACCTGGGGAGCCAAAGACAATAATGGGTAGAGGAAAAGAATGGAAAAGATAGAAAGAAAAAAAGAGGTGGTAAGATTGGAAACGCTCAAAAAGAACTAAAGTGTGGGGGGTTTCTTCTCTCCTTGAATTTGCATTAAGAAATACAATATAAGAAATAGGGATTGTGAATTTTATATACCAAGAAACGAGTTAAAGATTGATTATTCTAAGCATCTGTACATATTATAATTGGAAGCCAAAAAGTAAATCATGGGTTTTAGACTCGTTAGATTATGAGAATGTTGAATGCGACTAATTATAAAGTTCTAAAAATCTGTGGTGGAACTGATGATTGTCATATTTAATTAAGAAAAAGTTCAGGGATTGTGACTAATATTTTTAATCTTATGTTGATTACATGTTTCTGGTGGTGTTTTGTCGTTTATTCTCCTTGTAAGATTTCTAACTCGAAATGGTTAAATTTGAACTTATTTTTTAATAAGGTAGGAATACACAGTGTCAGACAGGTATGGGGTCGTTGGTTTTGCCTAATTGTCCCTAGAAGCAGAGTATATATGTTACAGATTTTGCCTGAAAAGATTTTATCTGAAACCTCTAGGTGTATTTTTAAGTCAATAAATAATATACAAAAATGGACATGCAAACCTGGTCCATTTTTTTTTTTAATACATAAGACATAATGTTCTTCATTATCAAGGCCTTGCTTTATTCTTTTTTTAAAAAGAAAAACAGATGCTAGAGGTGGCTAATGAAAATAAAGTAGTATTAAAATGTTCGTATTGTTTATTTATCTAGTGCCAAATCAAAAGCATGCTTAATATGCAAACACATACCCTAAACATATCATGCTAGTTCCCCATCTAAAAAATAGAAAATAAAATATGAGACAACCCAGAAGTTCCTTATGAGGAACCATAATTTTTCTCTACAACTGTGCTCTTTCTTACTCTTGGTTTACAGAGAAGGTACAGGTTTGTGAAGAATCTTCTGTGATTCACATTTGCTGTTTTGCAGCCCTACCGAACACATCCCCAAGTATAGCTGTGTTTATAAATGTTGAGTCATTCCATCTCTGAGCCACAGCAGGCCAAGAATCTCCAAGGTTGTTTTTGTTTCTCATCCATGTAGAATGTAGTGATTATCAGACTCCAATTGCTTTGCATTAGCTTTCTGCTCAGTGTACACACCAAAGGCAGTGCTGTCTCGCCTCAATGTACCACATTACCGTATCATTATGAACAATCGACATATACCAAGAAAATAGAATTTTCTCATGTAATCCAGAAACTCTAGAAAGAAGCTGAGTCGAGAAACGGTACTTCTGAGTTATTTTTATGAAGAGAAGCAACTCCCAGATTGCCCTCTCTCATATGACCTCTGGGATGTCTATGTTAGCCTTTTACTGCCAATCTTAAAAACAACAACAAAAATCACTAGGGCTCAGATCCTATGAGATTGTGTAATTAAGTCCAGCTAGTTAAGTGAAATACAAGATTCTTTTCTACTTCAAATTTAACACTTGTTTGAGCATTTTGAAAGCTGGAAAGGGGCAAAACTAGAACAGAATCACTGTCTACAGGTGTATAGAAAATTTCTCTTTTTTCTTTTTGGAAATTTCTGCATGTTAAATCAGTGTAGAGCTCTGATGTTTTGTAAACTGTAGGAATGTAAACATTCAGCTCTATGCAATCAAGGTTATAGAAAACAACTGCAGAGTAAATTACTGGTAGTTATTGTCCATGCGAAATGATTTTGAAGGACACACAAGTAAACTTCCTCAAATCTGACTAGACTTCTATTTTCTTAATCTCAGTGTTAGGCATAACAATCTCCATGATGACGTTTATAAAAGGAACTTTAAATACTCAGAGTACTTCTTTTAGAAAGGGACATAGAGTTTTAGTATTCCCATTTTACCAGTCTCATGTTCATCTTTGCCAACCAACGGGGCATTTCCTGGCATCCCTGTGCTCACCATATAAAGCTAGCAGATGGCATTACTGTGAGATCCTGCCTGATAGAGGCCCTCCAGTGAGTGAAAAAAAAAATCCCGTCTGTCAAGATGCATTGCCATATACAGGGATATGACTTACTTACTAGGCTTCCTTATTGCCACTGGTTGTGTCCAGGTATGGTTGGAAAGCAGTTTTGCACAAAGTTATGTCTTATTTTCTGCTACTTTAACATTGTAAAAGAAATGAACCCTAATGAATGAGAAATTGGTCTTTTTTGATAATGGATGTCCCTTAAGGATACATGTTCAGCTCTTTGTTTGAACCAGCAAATAATAGACTCCTGCTTCATCACTACACTCCTTCCTACCAGCTCCCATCATTTGACTATATTTCAATCAACAGTCCCTTCAAATTTCCCTTGTAGAAACAGCCTAGAATGAAGAGGTGATTCACAACAAAGTCAAGTAGTCCTTAATGTTAATCTATATTTGGGGTGATCTCCAGAATAATATATTCTTAGAGATCAAAATAAATTTAGATATAGCACAAAACCCTCAATTTCCAGAAGAAAAATGCAGTGACCACATTTCTGAAAGAAAAATCAGGATTATAATCTAAACCAAAGTTCAGTCTAAAAGTACAAGAATATTTTTATAGCAGTCCTAACAGAATTTTTTAAATCAAAAAAACTATCTTGTAAACTCAGGTATGTTTAGTTACTATATGCAGAATGTCAAGTTTCTTGCCCAAGTAGCTCTGAAAGACTTGGGATAAAGATCTTGCCAAGCAAAATCTTTAATTATGATTATAAAGGCATATCACAGTCTAGAGTTTCATCCCATAAGCTAAGTTCATTCATTATTTGATTCTACAAATATTTGAGGCTCTCTACTGTTATTTATTGAGCATTCATGTATTATATTCTAGGCGCTGCTCTAGGCTTTTTTGTATACCTTGTCTCATTTAATTTTCATAACAATCTATGACAGATATAATTATTTCATTTTAGAGTGGAGGAAACTGAGACTCAGAAAGGTTACATAACTTGCCCAAATTTATATTGGTAGGAAGTATTATACAGCAATTAAAGAAACCAAGATTTGAATCTTGGTTCAAGATTCAACACTAATTTCATCTTTCCACTACAGCCTAGTGTTCTTATCATGTCCAAAGCCTGGGGTGCCATGGAGGTTCTATTCTCAAGGAACTTACAACTTAGCAAAGCAAATGTTGTGTACACTCTATTACCATGATAAAAAAAAGTTTGAAACAATATCTACATTTTTAGATTTGCTCTAGGACTCTGGATTATCCAGCATGTTCAGTATTTTAATAACTTAGACTAGTAAATATCAAATCTATTTCTCTAAATCTAAGCTGATCAGAACAGTGTGAGTCAAAAATATTCCTTAGTCAATTATAAAATTAATGTCTTGACAGAACACCCAAAAAGCTTTTAAGGATTGTGATAATTATCACCAAAAGGAATTAAGCAAACTATTACTATAACTTTTATTCAGTGAATTTTATATAAATATGTCTGTGCAAATATCAACTATCTAGTGCTGAGCAGAGCTATGATTTGAAAAAATAAACTATAGCATCGAATGTTCCAATTAAGTCTAAACTCAAACACGGGGTAATAGATTTACAAACTGCATACATAACTGAATAAATTGCTGAAATTGCCATCAAGTAATAGTAAAGAACCAGAAAGTTTTATCACAGAATAGAAATCCACTATTAAAAAGATAAAATATAGAAATGAAAACATTGAGGAGCAATGTTGATTTGAAAGCAGTTTTCTAACTATTGGACACTCTCTGTTATAGACAGTTGACCGACCAAAGGACTGGTACAAGACAATGTTTAAGCAGATTCACATGGTGCACAAGCCAGGTATGTATGCTGTTGTTTTCTAACCAGGTCCTTGTGGGCTGAAGGATGTACACTCCTCTTTTGTATAGATTTTGTTCAGACAAATTGTCAGGACCCCAGGAAACTTCATAGCCCCTCTCATTTTTCTTTTAAACATTCCTTTTTATTCTCCTTTTATCGCCCTTCAAATCTCAGATCCCTGTGCCTCTGAGTAACCCCTGAGCTGCCAAGAAGCCTCTAAAGGGGCAGCCCTTGGAGGACTGCCAGGTGCTCTGTCTGGTCTTATCCCTCCCTCTTTTTCTACCCTCAGTCTGAACCGGTGTGTTGTCTACTTAGACTCATTGTGTGTTCCTGTGTCCACCCCACCTGCTCCTTATCAGGAGTGAGTACAGGTAGGTCTGAGCCCGCTCAGAGAGGGTAACAAGAAATCTTTAAATCACTGACTAAAGGAAGCTCCTGATCCAGAGGAGAGGCTGTCTGGGGAAGCAAGGACAAGGGACTGACTTTGTATGCTGTGAAGAGGGCAAATATGTAACAGACAAGACAGGTTGGTCGGCAGAGGCCCAGCAAAAAGCAATATCGGAAAATAAGAAGTGGGTTTATGAACAAGGAAAAATGCGTTGCTTTTCTAACAAATTTCTTTTGTTTCTCTGAAGTTCTGCTGTCTTGTTATGATATGATGACCAAACCTATGTTATTATAATATTTATGTTTCATTTTCTAGATGATGACACAGACATGTATAATACTCCTTATACATATAATGCAGGTAGGACGGGTTTCCTTGCTTGCAATGAATATTTTATGCTTGGCAATGTTTGGAAGGACTACACAGTCACTTTTTTTTAAAACCACTCAGTTTGAGCACACATTTTCAGTTTATATAATTAAGAGGATGCTTTTTTTTCTTTGTCAGAGCATGCATAACAAAAGGATTGATCTTTTCTCATGGAAATGAGAACTAATACTGGTTTATCTCATTCATTCCCACTGTTAGTTTATTCTCAGCTTCAGGAATGTTTAAACAAAGTGTGAAGGACAGTGTGAAAGAACATAGTGTTACCCAGGGTACCAAATAAGATAAGGATCTTTTATCAGCAGAGAGTGATGACACTTGCGTAAGATAATTCAGATACACTTCACAAAAAAACAAGTCAAGCAAACTATTTTGTGACCTTGTCCGTGCTTTTGCTCAAAAATGCAACCATTCATTGAAAGATTTGAAAAATCCCACTTGGCTGGGCCACTTTTCTGACTCAGAGTCACCAGTGGCCATAGTGGAGTGACTGACTTCATTCAGTTCTGGGCATTTCCACTTGTACTGGAGTGTTTCTTGTGAAGTAGTCTGCAGGCTGGAGTGAGGGACCCCTTACAAAATATTTCCCTTTATCACTTTCTCCTCTCACTGCCCTGCCTCAGGCTCAGGACTGTTTGATTGTCTTTTTTCTCCTTTCTTTAGAGCATGCGCTGAGGCTCAGACTCCTCATCCCCCTTCAGCAGCTGTGACCTCACTTAGGGGTCCCCTTGCTAGCTTGGCTGCAGAAATACATGAGACTCTCCTCTCCTTGACACCTGAAAACCAGTGATCAGGCCCTTTCACTGTCAGGGATTTTACTGCTAGTTTCAAGAGGCAGATGGAGGAAAAATGAGTCAAACAAGCTTAACAAGCTTGTAGGACCTCTGGGGTTAGGCCCTGGCTCCCCTAGATGAGAGCAGGAGGCCCACAAAGACTTCAATTCCTGGTCACGGGTACACCAAGCTTACCTCCTTTATTTAGGCCGAAAGTAGAGTCTGACTGTGGAATTGAAGCAAAACCATACTTTGTCTCTTTTCATTTGACATGGAAATTTGCATGGACTTTCATAAACAGATAAGTGCCAACAGACTTAGTCCAAAAGAATGATGTTGCGGGAAATTCAGAATTGTTATAATTTTTTTAATATTGAAGTTTTTGTCACATTAGTAATGAATAAATTGAACAGCATATACATATTACCTTGTAGAGCCCTACAATTTTTATCATTTTATCAGTAGACAAAGCATCTGCAACTAGTCTCTTCCCTTTCTGCTAACCCAACACCCCGCTGCTTTATGTCTTGTACTTTTCTGCCCTTTTCCTTTTTTTCTATCCCATCCCTGCCACTCTATTTCCCTACCCACCCCAACTAATCCTTCAAGGCTAACTCCATAATATCTTCTCTGACCAATCCACCATCTTCTAACAGCTTTTAATTTTTAATATATTTTCTTCATTTGGTCTTTATTATATGTTACGAATTATTTTCAGTTGTAATTCTGTCTCATTTCCCCAGATGCACTATAAGCTTTTGAGGGTTTATGTCTCCTTGTGCTTTGCACAGCACCTTACATATACAGCTTGTTTAATATTTTGTTTGATTGCAACTAACATGTCAATTGTCATATGCAAATCAGAGTTTTTAAAAAAGATACTTGAAAAATAGTTCTAAGTATTTTTTATCTTCCTCTGAAACCTTAACTGTGTTATTAGTTTATATGATCAAGGAGAAAATTTGCTGAGTATCTATAAGTTTATTCCTAGTACCTGTCTGAATTATTACTAATTCCAAAATAATTGATGAAGATTTACTATAATCAGTGCTTGTATATAGAACAAATTAATAATCAATAAGTTAATAATGATTAGCAAATTAATAAAAAGTTAATAAAGAATGTACCATCTAATGTATGCATTATGAAGATGCTATTGACAATAATTTTGTCAAAATCATTGGATATTTTGAGGGGTACAAATCTAATGCACTTTTAAAATGTTATTTGCTTCTGGTTTTTTGTTCTTGTTTTTTTCACAATAGGTCTGTACAACCCACCCTATAGTGCTCAGTCACACCCTGCTGCAAAGACCCAGACCTACCGACCTCTTTCCAAAAGCCACTCTGACAATGGCACCGGTGCCTTTAAGGACACGTCCTCCCCGGTGCCTCCACATGTTCCACCTCCAGTCCCACCGCTTCGACCAAGAGATTGGTCTTCAACGGAAAAGTAAGACATTTTCTCCAAAATGGCATATATTTAGCTTAGGATAAAAATAAGGTCACATGGCATCTGGTAGAAAAATTAGTGCGTACCTCACAGAGAGAATCTACATATAATCTTATTAGTCCATATGTTTACCATATTGACCTCCTCTATGGAGATTGTAGCAAATGCTTTCACAATCTTGGCTTGTGAAATCGTAGTGCCCTAAGTTAGACTTGAAGTAACATGGGCACAATCTCTACTTTTTGATCAATAAATGCATATGAGACGAGTAAATAGAAATAATAGAAACAGAAATAATTGACATGTACTTCCTTTGGTATAGCAGGTTAGAGACTATGCAGTTCATTCTGTTTCCTCAGAGTTGAAATGTTAGGTCTATTAATTAAAAAGTCTTTTTTGAAAGCAAGGAAAGTTATTTATAAATCATAAATAAGGCATTAGTTAATAAGTGTCTATCTGTGACTCATCTTCACCCACTTTTTGAGCTGATACTAATTTTCATTTCTCTGCTTATATATTTTTATAGAAGCTATTTACACTAAAATAAAAATTTATAAACATACTTTTATTGTGTCATTTTTAATTAGAATTATGACTAATATTTCTACTTATAGGGAATGCTTGTTGAGAGTTCACTATGAGCCAAATACTAGGTTAAGGGCTTTTTCTGTATTAAATCATTTGTCTGAGAACAACCCAATGAGATATGTTTTGTTTTAGAAAGAAACTGTGATTTAGAAAATTGAGGTAACTTGCTCAGCTCTTACAGCTATTGTGTTCAAGCTAATATTCGAACTCAGCTGTGATTAAATGCAAAGCCTATGCCATACTGGTAATTAATAAATAAGGATATAAAATTATTCTTTATTAATGCTGGTTATTAGGCATCATCCATCATAACCATCCCAGAAAAATTGTGTTTAACCCCCCATTGTACCATTAAGAGTAATTGATGATCAGATAGTGTACAGGATACCATGAAAAAATACACACATCATGTGTGAAGAGATACTCATTTTAATGTCAGTCTCCTCATGATGAATAATGTGTTTAGAAAGTGTAATGTCTTAAAACTGAGAAATAATTTGCTAGACACAAAATAGTATCTTTACCATCAAGAAAGAACCAAAATTAACTCAGATTTAAATGTACTATTATTATTTTTATTAAGTGTATTATTATATTTAGTAAAAATAAATCTCTCATTAAGAAATATGATAACCTCTTAAAGAATTCAGAGGGCTTTCACAAATATTGCCTCATGCAATGCTCAAAACATCTCTGCAAGGAAAAAGGATACAATTTTACCGTCTGTGCTTTACACAGATGGAAAAACTAAGACTGAAAAGGCTTACGGCTTCTACTGAATATTACTCATCAGTTTGGCAGAAAGCTAGGCCTTGCCCCTAATTCTGTGTCTTAGAGCACCTCTCCCTATTTCCAACATGCCATAGAGTCAGAATTTTATTTCATTCCATGGAATCAGAATTACCCCAATCTATAGTCACAAAACCCTCTTGGATGATATTAGTTCAGGGAAAAGAGCTGACTTCAGTGAAATGGATGTTTGATTCTGGCTTTTCAAGCTAACACCAAAAGAGGATCTCCTGTGCTACACAACTTGCATGCCAACCCAAGTGACACTTTCGTAGTTTTTACAAACCGTGATGCCACTTTCAAGAAATAAGATCGTGGTGTGTACATTAATCCTTGTCACTTTGGATCAAGGCTGCCAGGTCACAGAGTGGTGGGTTACTCACAATGCTTAACGGAGCATATACCACGTATTTTAAACACAAATATGCACAGCTGCTTTTAGTGACCCGGGGTTTACTAACAGGTCACGGTCTGCATGCCTACAAACCCCTCATGTGAGTTTTTGAGCCAAAGTAGGATAGTCATAGGGAAAAAAAAAATAGAGGAAAATATAATATGAAATTTTTAAAAAATGACTTTCTTTAAATCATTTATGTTAAACAAAACATAAATGTGATAATTTTCTCAGAGTAACTTTTTGTCCTGAGAGGTTTTTTAAAAATACATACTAAAATTTGAAAACAGATAGTGAGTGGTTTTTTTACAACTGCTTTAAGCATACAGTATTATTTTCATGAGTGAGTTGTTTATTTCTAGGCATGACTGGGATCCTCCAGACAGAAAAGTGGACACAAGAAAATTTCGATCTGAGCCAAGGAGTATTTTTGAATATGAACCTGGGAAGTCATCAATTCTGCAGCATGAAAGACCAGTAAGCACTTGTCATTAAACAGAATACCTGGACGCTCTCTAGGCTTCCAGGGTTCCCAAATAAGCCTGAATTTCATATCAGTTAGCAACTTTGTCACAAAGGTAATTTATTTATTGGCATTATTTAGAAATCACATTTATTTTTTATCACGATTTGAGCATCTTGTCTCAGAATTGAAAGATGCACTCTCTAATATATTGTCCCTACTGACTAAATATATATACATATATGTTTGTGTTTGTGGGTATATATGTGTGTATATATATGTAGGATTCATTTACATATAACTATATCTGTGCCTAATCACAGACCTGAATTTAGGTTTGCTTTGGTTTGGTTTTAAATCGGTCATAAATGGAATACTTAATTGCTATTATAGATTACTAAAGAGAAAAATCATTAAGGAATCTCCCCAATACACATGAACCCAGGCACTTCCATCCCTTGATTTCCGCATTGGTTTCTTAGTATTTCTTTGGCTTAAGGGGAAATTTTCCAAATGCCCTTTTTATAACAAATTGTTTTAATTGATTCTTATTAAATCCCTCTCAGGTTTCCAAGCTCAAGCCTCCTGATTGATTGTCATTCTAATGGATCAAGATTATATTTCACTTTGCAGTATTTTTTCCAATTATTTATTTTAATTACATGTAAACAAAAAGATATATAAACTTGAGAAAAACCACTTGCCTCCTCAAAGTGCAAGTTAACAAATAGGTTCTTCCTTGGCCTTCTTTGTTTCTAACTTCCCTCGTCCTCCTTTGTGTGTCCTTTGCTTGCCCTAAGGATCTCTTTGAAACTCTAGCATTCCTCTGCATCTCCATCCAAACCTGCTTCTAGAAAAACAATTGATGTCAATTGCAATTTATTCTCACCCTTCCCTTAAAAGAATTTTAGGTGTCAGTGAACAGGAAAAAGAGAGTTTTCTTTTTTAGCTCTTTCTAGAGTCTCCAAGAAATCATATATAATGCAAAGTCAGCCCTGCAATTTAACTGTAAACCCAGGCCTCACCACACCCAACATGAGTGTCCTGGATTTAGTTTTGAAACCCTATTATTTGTGGTGGTGTTCTTGAGCAACATGTTCAAAAACCTTATAATCACGTAATTCATACAGGATATTTACATAAGCCTTCTTTGCCTTTCTTCAAATAACATATCTTTTAGAGTAACGGGACTTCAACAGAAAGACTGAAAGAGTGAAGAAGGAATATCACTAATTTGCAGGCTCCATTGTAAACTTATAACCCATTTACTAGGTTCTTGGATTGAATATCATGATACTTTGACATTTCCAGTATGAGAATAAAGTGAGCCACAGTGTCACCATTGCATAAAATTGAAAAGAGCGAAATAATAAATCTCAAATTTAAATGTAAACTACAAAGCCTTAATGGTCATCCTAATAATTTATGAGACTCTTAGGATAATGGAAATGGTAATTGTATTGGAATGCTTTTGTAGCTGTGGTGTCAGGGAAAAGGATCGATTTTAGAGACTTTCCTATCAGAATATTTGTATTATTTACTCATTTAATAAAATTGGTTAAGCATCAACTATGTACCAGAGTTTATATTAGGTGCAGGAACACAACAGTGAACAAGACACAGTCTTCACCTTGAGGATCTTCAAGTCTGTCATTTAATGTATATGCATTTGTGCAAAGTAAAATCCTCTTATATGGTTAAAACAGAGGCACACCTAAAAAAACTCTCCCTTTGCCCCCTCCAGAGCTCATTCATGGGCCCTGAAATTCTCACATTACTCTTGTCTTTGAGTTAAAGCCTTAGAGGCTCTTAGTTTAAAAATAGAGATAATAACAATACTTATAAATCTTTATTGAGCATTTACTCTGTGCCAGGCTCTCTAATTGGTAATTTATGCCTTATTTCATGTAATGTTGCCAACAACCCTATGAAGTAGATATACAGTATTCCCATTTCACAGATGAAGAGACTGAAGCACACATTAACTTTGCCCCAGTACCCCCATGGCTGATGGGTGCTGGAGCTAGCAGTTGACTCCTGGCATATCATGCCTGGTGCTCTCGATCACCACTACACTGCTGTGCCAGGGTCACCCGAATAGGAAACACATTTAGCTAGTAGTCATTATCACCTTAATTAGCTTATTTTATTGTTTTTTAGTATCAATTAGTTTATTTATTGGCTAATTTTATAACAGATTAGTGCACTTGATTTACTAAACCAGAAACATGGGCCCTGCGTACTTACAACACAAGACCAGCATACTCAAACTGGTTCTAAGATAGGAAGGTCTGGAGCACGAGTGTTACCAGCGATTCAGGTGTGGATCGGTTTCTGCAGTCACAGGAAATGATAAGCGGAAGGAACCTAGAAACTTGGGAGGAAATGAGAGTGGATGTCTTATGGAGAAATGGAAAGAATCAAAACTTATCTCTCCTAAACAACTTTGCTGAGGGCCAGCCTTATGCAAAATGACTTGAGCTCATCATACGTACCGTGTTAGTCAGGCTTTTTATTATAGGACTAGTCTATTATCTTTTTTTAAATCACTCCTGAGTTCATTCCAGCTGCCTCTATAAATCAGGAAAACACAAAGGGCTAAGAGGACAGTGGTGTTGCAGAGACTGGCTATGGATTGATGAGGTTTACATGAGATTGTGGTGTCTCGACCACACAAGAGATAAAGGATGAAGAGCAGGTTTGCCCAATGAGAGTGATGTAATAGCAAACAACGCCTAGGTATTCCAAGGCATTACAAATGCACCCTCATGTATTTTTACCCCAGGATGGTTTGGGAGCACTCTTTCGCTCTTTTCATTTTTAATTTTTGAAAAGTATACCTAATGGCTAGGCAATTTCGTGTTGCTCTTTTGAATTCTAGAAGACTCCTCCATCTGCCTGGTTTTCCTAAGTGTCCTCTTGGGTTCCCCTCCTCCTGGGGAACCCAAAGTCCTACCCACTAGCAGAAATGCCACTGCCACCTCTCTCTTCCAGTCCACAATTGTCCATTACCTGGACAGCCACCTGATTCATTTCTCTGATTCTACAATCTACTCTCCACCGCAGCTAGGACAATCTTAAGACAATCTTTATAAAACCTCCAGTTCAAAACTTACTGCTACCTCTCTACTGTCCTTAAAGCAAAATCCAAATCTCTTAGCATAATTTATAAAAAACCTTGTGATTTGGACCCAACTGACCTCTATAGCCTCATCTCTCCTCCTGCCCTCCCTGCCTCACTATGTCCCAGCTACACAGAGAAGTTTCAATTCCCTACTTGCTGGACCTTTGCATAGGCTATGCCCTCTGCCAGGAAAGCATTCCCCACCACCTCTCCCTTCACATGGAAAATTCCATCCCATCCTTCAGGTCTCAGGTAGTCACACTGGCCCCAGGAACTGTCCCTGACTCCTCAACACCAGGTTTAAAGCTCCCCCTGCTGTGCACCCATGGCACACTGTGCTTCCCCCCAAGGCCTTTACCATGCTGAATTGTAATGACCTATTTACTTGTCTGTATCCCTCACTAGACGTTTAAGCTCCTTGAAGGCAGGAACCATGTGTGGTGCACCAGTTGTATCCCCAACACCTAGCACAATGCCTGGGGTATGGTCAGTGTTCAGTGAATACTCACTGAATTACTAAGGGAGCGAATGAATACAGGTCTTACCCTTGCAGTTGGTGGGTAAAGTTGGTAAGAGATTGAGTCCCTGTTCTGTTGCTTATCTTTGAAGTCTATACATTTCTAGTGACAAAAGGCCCAGTGGGTTTCCGTCAATGCATGGACGAGGAATTCGACACACTGCTATTAGCAGCTGTGGCTCGCTCATTTCCTGATTCCTGGGGTACAAAGGAGGCAGAGGGGGCAAAAGTCCTCCCTAGCCCCTGGCAAAAAGGTCCCCTTCCTCCTTAGGAATCAGTGGCATGTGCATTTATGTTCTTTAACAGGAAAGTAAAAATGAATGCACTTTTTTGAAGCTCATAAATATTCATTCAACCATAAATTTAGAAATGTCCACTAAATAGACCTAATGTTTAATCTAGAAAAGCACTTTGCAGTCACCAGAAATTAATCTTTAACTGACTGGAACCACAAATAAGAACCATATTTTCACAGTTTATTTATTCCATGAGACAATTATACAAACTCTCTGCTGGGCTTATATTAATAAAAACGTTACATCCCATCTAGATTGGAATTGCTTGTAGGTGAGCCATGTTAAATTTTTTTTTTAATTTAATAAAGCATTTGTTTAGGATCTATGTTTGATAATATAAAAAGCAGTATGAGGATGTTTTCTTTCCCTACAGTAACTAACCCCCCACATAATGATAAAAGTAGAAGGAAACAAGCATTGAAAACACTGTGAAGAGTTGAAATGCAGTTTAAACCATCAGTGAACAGAAGCTTCTTTATCAATAAATATTGTCACTCAAAGCTAAAGCTATAAAAATTTTGGAAGTTTCATCTGATGGTTTGAACCATAAAGAATTATTTCAATTAACTATGTGTAGAGCATTTATTGTAGAACCACAATAAATATAAAACATAGTAGCCAATGCCATTGAAGCTTAAAATCTAATGAGCATAAAATTTTAAGAATGAAATGCGTTGGCACTTCTTTTTGTCTGGAACAACATATGGAAAATATATGCCTCAGTGGGAATACCAAGAACAGTGGAATTTCCATAACCACAAAAGCAACTAAATGCTTTTAATTGTAGAAAATAAAAATTTTAAAAATTGATCACCCTTTTTAATGAGTCATGTGTGATTTACAGTTTTAGCTTTTCTTGAGCACTTCCACTTCCACTGATGACGCAAAGTTAGTTTTAAGCAGACTTTGCTGGTTTTTTTAAAAGGAAAACAAACAAACAAAAAAACATGGTTAGGAAGATGTGCTTCAGTATCTCTGCTCTTTGGTCTTTTATAAGCAATTAGAGTAAAGCATAAGCATACTTCCTGGATGAATTTCTGAGTGTTAATAGTAGTGCTGAACTCAAAAGATCTTGCACATTACACATAGTGTTGAATTAGTGAGGTTATTGATGTGTTTTTAATGTCTGTTGGCTGATCAACTGTATGTGTTTCACTGGCTATTGTTAGGCTTCTGTATACCTTAGCAGTAGCTCTGGATGCTACAAAATACATTTAATTGTTGCATGACTAAAGCGAGTTCAACAGGTCAACCACAGCAAAGAGAAAATTCTAGTTCTGCCACTTACACTTTCTTTAACATAAAGCATGCAACTTTTACTACCTTCCAAAGTTATAGGTAATTACCAGTTATCATTGTTTTGGGTGTTTTCTGTGCTAATTTCTATTGGCATGGATTCTACATGGTTTATGACTATAAATTGAGTTTTTAATTGACAAAATCATAATTAATGGAAAATTGTCCTTTTAAGGAAGGGCACGAGATGATAGATATTCTATTGTAGAAATATATTTCTAGAAATCATACCTTAGTATATCCATTTGCTATATAATCTCTTAAGGTGGAAGTCAAAGTGAAGTTATAATAGCTAATAAATATACTTATTTGTTTAGTAAATTTGCTGCCCTCTGCTGTTCATGATGTTTTTAAGTAAATATGTTTCTTCCAGAAGTTTCTATTTCCCCTTAACAAAACAGAATTCTGTATTTGAAAGCAAAGGTCACAAAATCAAAAATTAATAATATAATTGAGTATGTAACATTAGAAAATATGAAGTTTGAAAAAGTCAGGAGTTAGTTTCCTGTGGAAAAAATTGTGTGTCTCTATAAACAGGACAAAAATTACTGGAAAATCTCTTTAATGTCAGTTACTCTAAAAATCAGCTCCAACAAAATCATTTCCATTAAATGTTGCATCTATAATAATATAAATAATAACTGGATAAAAATAATATTTTAGCAATATCAAAATCTCAATTAATACTTTTGCAACTATTGAAGCAAATGTTTTAATTAAAAGAAACTGCAAATCAGTTACTAGCATACTTTTTTCCTACTAATTTCACTGTCACTTCTGAAATGTAAGTCAAAAATAGTATTAGCATAAATAAGCGAAAATATCTCGAGTCCTGCAACATTTTCCCATATCTAATAGATATTCTCTCTGATTTTTATTTATTGCAATAAATAACATGTAACAATGAAGCAAAATAATATTTCAAAGAAAGAAAAAGCAAAGTCTCACTTCCAGAACAGCATTGTAATCTTTTGTGCATGTGTGTATTTCTTTAATGTGCTCTTCCAGACACTGTAATATTATTGTAACTACTGTACAAGTACACAGTTATATTCTACTTTTGTCAAGTGGGCTCCCATCAAAAATATTTCCCACATCATAAATATTACTACACAGTCTTTATAATTATGATCAGTACATATTATAGATAACTTAGGCCCTGTGCTATTTCTTATGATGCCTCAAACTTTTCTATTATTTTCTGTAGTTACCATTGTAATTTTTTATTATAAATATTGTAGCAAAACCACATCACTAAAAGCACATTGGGTATAATTTATTAATAAATATAAACTGTGCATCACTAACAAAACTGTTGTAAAAGCAACAAGGCAATAAAACACTAGAGCAAGCTCAAGTCAAAACAGTGGCTTTTGTTAGAATATGCAGTATTTCAAAGCTCCCAAAGTTACAAAGTCCATAGAGTACTTCTTTCAGAACTGAGATGCAGCTATGCAGTGAAAATCCTCGAGTTCCTTTAAGAACTGTAAGGAAATGATATGGAATTGCTTTGAAGCAGTGAGCGCAGTTTAACAGCCCTCCTGGAACGTGTCTTGGGAGACCCTTCTCCTGGCAAGGGTAAATGGCTTTTAGGAAAACAAATCATTTTTTCTTAGAATTATTTTTTCTGAATTAAAATACTGTACTGTTCAATTGTACCACATTTAATTAGTGTCACATGATAATTATCAAAGAAGTAATAACTCACATGCAGTACTTTAAGCATCCAGTTTTAATATAAAATCAATAGCCTGAATCAATCTAGTCAGGCATGTTTTACTTGAAAGCATTAAGAATATCGCTGGGTAAAGCAAACGCTGTGTGTCTGTTTTGTATTACTGAAGCAATTGTATGTATTTTCTCAAACTGCTTATATTAATACTCCTAGTTCTTTCATCTTAAATGCAACATTCAGAAACCACTGGAGGAGAGCAAGTCAAATATAAAAATTGGCTTTTTATCTGAATTAGAACATCGAGGAAACCGAGGTGGGATTTTATCCCACACTCCCTGCCCTTCCCCCGGCCATGCACAGTATAGTGAAAAACCTAACCCCACCCAGATCCCTTTCTGTAGCTCCAGGTAGGCAGGTGGAAGGTGAATCTTGGAGTGTCTCCTAATATATGACATTTCTTCACTTTTGGAGAGACTCCCGGTCTTCATATCTTTGCAGTGGTCCAGACCCTTCCTAAGGTATCTGAGGCCCACCCCTACCTCCCCAGCCCCCAGGGACATTTCGCTCCCCTAAAGCATTTCCTCCCACCTGGCCTAAGGCAGGGCACGGAGCACGGCTAGCCGGTGTCCTCTCGGTTCCGTGGAGAACCTCTGTCTAATGAATCAGTTTCTGCTTCGCCCCTCTTTCTTACAGCCCCCTCCCCCAACAACACCTGTTCCAAGAGAACCCGGCCGGAAGCCTCTCTCTCTGTCACCCTACGGAGAAGTCACTGGTAGCCCCTCCCCGCCGCCCAGGAGTGGCGTCCCCGCGCCGAGCTGGCGCGCCCCGGCTGTCTCTCCCGTCCGGGTGAGCTCCGTCCTTCCTTAACTTTTCTGATGCTTGTCGGGAAGTTCAGGTGCAGCCCCTGCTCCCCGGAGGCTCAAAGGGCATCGTCAGGGGCTGGCTACCCACGACTCCCCGGGTTGCCCCTTTCTGTGGTCACTCACACCGCGGCTTCGTCATGCCAAGAGACCCCTCTCACTCCTCGCCACGCCCCTCGTTTGTCCTCCCACCTTTCCCCGTCCCCAGCCCCACGCCCACCCCGGGCTCTCCAGATGCCTGCACCTGAGCGAAGGGTCTGCAGACTGCAGTCACATGCTGGGACTGCTATTCCCCAGTGAGGGCAGGGACCCTGGAGTGACTCACCCAGAAGAGCTTCTTGGTGACCGAGTGGAGCCTCGTCTGAGTCTCTGGCGTGCTGTCCCTGCCCATTCTCGCTACCAGCGAGAGTTTTCCGTAGTTTATGCAACAAGCTAAGGAGAACATGAGAGAAGGTGGACAGAGGAAAGAGCTAGGGACCTGCGCCATGCCATTGACGCTCATCTTCGCGTCCTAATTTTGCTGGACCTCCTGCGTTCTGTCCTGCCGAGTCCGTGGGCGCGTCGGTGCATGTCTGTGTGCGTGTCTCATTGCACACGGCGTTTCCCTCACTCGGCTCAGTGTGCCTTTTCCTTCCCTTTTCCTTCACATCTGCTCTAGACTGATCGCATAAATCCAGATGACATAGATTTAGAAAATGAGCCCTGGTATAAATTCTTTTCAGAACTGGAGTTTGGACGGCCGGTAAGTGAGGCTAGACTATTAATGTAAGAAAAATAGGAGAATGTTGTTTGATTTTTAAAACGTACCATTATCAGAAGAGATAGGTGTCACTTAGAGAACAAAAGCCGAATGCATAATATGCATACACATTTGGTACGGCTTAGTCCACATGCACCTCTGTACCAAGTGATTAAAAGTGCTCAGATATTTTCCATACGGTTTTTCCAAGTCATGCATTAGGATTCCTTTATATCTAATTAACTGCAAATTTAAAATGTTGAGTTAGTTTCTGCCCTGGAATATTCAGACAATTATTACAACTTTATAGAAGATTTGTATTTGTTTACAGTCCGTTTTGGTCTAGTTCAAACAGAAGAGCAATTTGACATTTTTAATAACAGTTACTATTACTATAGCTCCCATTTGCTGAAGAACCCCCAGGCACCTGGAGAGGGCTGGATTCTGTACTCATTATCTCTGTGAGTCCTCCCAAAGCCCCTCCAATAAGAAGAAAAGGGAACCAGATGGATTAAGTAATTTGCCCAAAGTAGTAAATGGCAGAGTCAGAAGTTAAACCCAGGCCTGTCCAACAAACAAACAAATCTCTGAGCTGTTTCCACTATAATATATTGCCAAAATATTACCACTATAAAATAGCTCATTTAACATTAGGGATATAAGGGAAGGAAAAAATTAGGAACCCCTATGGACCTGGGCTTCTAGTATTGCCAGTGAAAGCCACCACATCATCTATAATCCCCAAGCTCCCATCAGAAGAAGCTGCCCTGGTTGGGCCTTCTGGGAATTGATTGCTTAGTCTGTTTGGGATAAAGAGTCAACACAAGCTTCAAATAACAACTTCCTTTATTAACTCATTTTATTTAGGAACTGTATCTACCAACAGCAGTGCATTTGATGTGTGTCAGTTACATACGTTTTATGAATTCTAAACTCTTAAATAACATACCAATTACAATGCACAGCAGTTTTTCTTAGAAATCAGAGAGTACAGTTGTTCTTTTACCATATCATATACAGATTTATATACTTGTATACTGGTCATATATTGTATCCTGGGTGGTTATGGTAGTCTCTTTTATCCATTAAACTGCAAAGGAGACTTGGTCAGATTTATTATATTTTTTTAAACTAAACCAAAAGTGACTGTAAATGAATATAAACCGAAGAACTTTTCCTAGAATTTCTATTAATTTTCCCTAGAATTCTATTTTTCTAGAATTTCTAATAGAAAAAAATGTTTTCTCTCATTTTTTCTAATTTGTACCCTAATATTAACATAAACATATTTTATTTTAGAGGGAAAACATTATCTTTATATGTATTATTATTGTTGATTAGAAAGTTTATAGGGACTACTCCAATTTCTGTACTAAGCCTAAATTATCAGCATTTTCTATAATCACACATGAAAACTCACCAGCATGCTACTCACTTGCTCCTTTAATGTTTCTTTAATATACCTTGCATTCCTCTGTGATCGGAGACTACGAGTGCTAATTTTGATTTGATGAAATGAGTTTATAAAGATACTAACTGAACACTAGCAATTTTGCCCAGTGCTTGAAAATACTTACAAACTTTGCACTCTTCCTCCTAGGCTACCCCATTTTGCTCCATTCATGTCACTCTTTATGTGTACCTGATGCTCTTGGCACTCAGTTTCTAACTGTTGTCACCTTTTCCACATGGTCATTCCTTGCTGCCATTGATTCTCCTCCATTCCATCTCCACACTTCTGCTTATGTGGTGCATCTACACCCAGCCTCCTAAAAAGGCTCTGGACTATGTGCAAGATCAGTCTTCTGGTGTTTCCAATGAGGTAAAAAACACATTATTCTCTCTTTTTGAGATTTCTCTTTTAAGACACTGTTACTGTGATTCTCAGCATCCATGTTTTACAATTCACCTGTAAATTGTCTGAGCTATTTTTGAAAATCTACCTTTGCATCATTGTGTGATATCCAGTACCATTGCCTGGACATTAATTAAACCAAAGGTGCAGGCTGTTTCTAAACTTGAAGTGAAGAATCATTTCAAACATAACTTTCAGTTAAACTATTTAGTGCAGTCCTGGTATTCAGCAGTGTGATAATCACAAATCAAAAGTATTAGTGTATATATTAACCACCTCTTTTTATTAGACTGAATAAACTTCAAGAAGACTTCTTAAGGCCATTTTATCATCATGCTTAGAAGAGTGGATTAAGAGTTTAGATTCTTAGATAATCAAATGCCTATGTCTCACATATTCCTAAATTTTATTTTTATTCTTTAATTTCATAAATACTTGCAACTTGTGGATTTTATCATCAGTCAAGAATAGAGATGACACATACTTGGCACACATGTCACAACTTCCCAGTTCCATACCCTTGACAGATATTACTAATCCTTCTCAACACTATAATCCAGGCAGCCATTATAACAGATCATCACTGGCATATGAGACAAAGTGTATTTGCCGTCTCTATTTAAGAATGCTTATGACAGCTAGGTAAAAAAATTCATGCTAGGCAGTGTAAATTTTTATTTGAATCAGGCAAAAAGAGTATTAAAAAGGCAAAAATGATCTCACGTCAAAAGCTTTTTTATCCTCTGCAAAGAAAAACAGAAAATTATTTTGGTAAGTAGGTAAAGGACTCATTAGAAGACAAAAGCAAAAAATGTCAGTGTTTTGCTAATCATCAGCTAATCAAAAGCCTCCTGGCAGGAGCTCTTAGAAGCATTTAGGATGACAGCAAAGTGAATAAACTGGTTTTTGCACAGTAGTTGTTCTGTGGTTTTAAGTGAATATAATAACCGTTAGTAAATTTCTTATTTTCATTGAAAATCCTAACAATTAAATATGTGCAACTAGAAAACAAAACAAGTAGAACATTCATGATGCAGGTGATACTCGTAACCCATGGTGGTGACCACTGGAATTGCAGGCATAGAGTCTCAGGAGGAAATATCCAAGTTTCTAGAGCTTTAGTTCACAATTCCAAATTTTCTCCCCTTTAATTTGCAATTCCAGGTCACTATCCTGTTTTAACTCACCTGCATCAGAGTATGTTTTTAAACTGGGAAGTGATCAAAATATTTATATATTAAATAAAGTAAAATAGAGTAGTAAGGAACATTCTGGGCTATCAAATTCAAGCATTTCTAAGCTTATGTTTTGTAGCCAGGCGTATAATCTCAAGAAGATGAAATAGTACAAGCAATTCTACTCTGTATGTTATTTTACCTTCAAATATGAAGAAAGAGCATCATTTCTACATAGGAATAACCCAAGAATTTATTTTGAAATTCAATTTGGTCAGATGTTTTTCTCAGGTGTTTTGGTCAGATATTTCTGAGATGTTTTTAAGGTGATTGTCTCATTGAGAACTGAAATGGAATTTAGAGAATTCTCACTCATTTTGCAGTAAAGTAGAGCGCAACGATTTTAAGAAATATGTCCAAAATCACATGGTAATGAAAAAAAAATAAAACACAGATCTCTTAACCTTCGCTTCAGTGCTATCTCCTTCATACCACACTTCTTAGCACTTCCAAGAGGTATGTTTAGAGCTCAAATTATTTAGGAACAAATCATTGACTTAATATTATTCCTGGTTAACTATTGAATTTCTATAAAATGAGTTCCTATAATTAACATTACATCATAATTCCAGGGCATAAAAATAGTAGAAACTTAATTCTGTTCATTTTATAATTTTATGATAGTGGCAAAAAAAAAAATCACTTAAGAAAGCAATTTGCTGGTAGTTAAACTACTTGTCATTATCTCTTTGGGACTGAGAAGAGGTGTTGTATGATTCTAATAGCACATTAACAATGTCATTAATTTAACATCACGGTTTTTCAGAGTATAACAAAACATGCTCTCATAAGGTATCTAAATTCCGTCTTTAATAACTTTATGTAAAACATTTCTGGTAAAAATCCTAATTGATTAGAGATTACTTTAGCTACCATTTTTCAAGTGCCCAGTATTGCCATGAATAACATGCTATTTAATTCATTAAAATAACTGAGAACCCAACGTTAATGAAGAACAGTTAAAGACTTTTAAGCAAAGTTTAATCACATGACTACTTAGCAGAAAGAGTGATTCAGTGTCTGTACATCAGTAAAATGATGTTCTAGATGTGTGAAAATAATAGTAATATGTAAATATTCATTAAATCATAATAGGTAAAATGGGTTACCTCTTTTCTGGAGACAGTTTCCATTTCAGGATGAGTACTATTCTTATAATTATTCTACAAGTTTTTCTCTTAGTCATCAGTCTAGACTTTTTACTTTACCTTCTAATTTAATACTGAACCTTCTCTAAGTACATAAAAACTGATTTGTTTATTTTGGAAGTGGAAACCAGTACAAGGAGGAAAAACTAGTTTCTTAGCCTACCTCTAAAACACAATTTATCAGTTCTTACACTATGTTTTATTTCATATTACAATATTGTTTAGGCTCACCACAAGCTGGCAATTCAAAATTTTTGATCACTGTAAGTGATGACACATAGTGTTCTAAGAGTGTCCTGAATATGACACTTTTTGGTGACCAACTGTGCATGTGGGCGTCCCATGAAAGCCATGATCCACACAGAGGACAATGCTCTGAAGCCCATTGGTGCTGCTCTTCTGCAAATATGTAGAATTAATATTTCTAAATTAGGATATATCTATCTTATTTTATTTTTTTACTTGTTTGCTTGATTTCTTGTTTAGTATCTATTTTTCTGCCTTTTCACTGTCCGATTCAGAATTCAGCAAATTAAAATAACCATGTAAACTTATCATACCAGATATTTTTTCTAATTTTATATTGTTGAAAACCTAAAAATCTAACTATTTTCTAAGAACTAAATATATTAGTATATGCTTTTTCTGTCTAAAAGGAGGAAGGAATATTCTCTTGTAGAGAGATGTTTTTGTTTGTTTCTGGGCAAGATTGCATTCTTGTTCAGTGAGATAGAATTAAAATGTTAGTAGCAATTGTAGAGTTATGCGTAAGGAGGCTTATCAGACTGATCTACATAAAGAATTGCAAAACTATAAACTAATGTTTTAATTGGTTAATTGGTGCTAATTTACCAGTTAATAAAAAGTAGAGTTCCAAAAGTAGTTTGTAAATTGAGGTTTAATTTCCACTAAGTAGGTTTTAATACTCTGGTAAAATGTTTCTGTGTGATAGCAACATAAGATAAAATTTGTCAAATCTTGCCTTTCTGCCTGGTGTTTTTAACCTTTCATATAGACAAAGATTTTCAAACTAGAATGTCAGTTCTTCATCAACCAAAAGTTTATCTGTGACGATGAATCGTCAAATATTACCAAAGCCAAAAATACGTGTACGTGGTATACATTTCTATACACATTCCAGACATTATACCACAACTGTCCTCTTGCAGCATCACATCACATATTACAGAAGCTCCATCCTGTCCGCTCTTGCCTTTATAGATATTTTAGCAATTATCCCAGTAGATGGCCGTGGAAAATGAAAAATTTATATCTACCATTTTTGCTTAATATCAATTTCAGTGTGCTACTCAGAATGAAGAAAAATGTTTAAAGTTCAATTTTTTTAAAAAAAAAAAAAGGTTATATTTTGATTTATTAGATCATTTATTTTAAACTTACCCTGAACTCACTTAATTGGAAAGATATCTATACCTGATTGAAGTACCATGTAGTTTACCAATTTTTTTTTTAAAAAAAAAGGTTATATTTTGATTTATTAGATCATTTATTTTAATCTTACCCTGAACTCACTTAATTGGAAAGATATCTATACCTGATTGAAGTACCATGTAGTTTAGTTTAACTTCAAATCAAATTATGTGGGTTTTACTGAAATATCATGTCTATGTTGACAGATGAAGGATATCTCAAGGTCTGCTTATATTTTATGTTTTAAAGATAACACCTGGCAACAATGAGAGAAAAATTGTAAGGAAGGCTATGTTTTATGAGGATTGGATGATGACTGTAAATATTTTTCTAAACATCAAACCATTTCTTTATGTAGAAAATTTCAATTTACAGTCAATAGGCAAGATTCTGAAGTTAAAGCTGTAGAATAACTTTAGCTCTTTATTCAGTATTTGTGAGGAAATATTATTCATTTCTCTTCCCCCATGCAATATTTGTAGATAATTTGAGTTACACAGAGAAATGTAATACAGAAATGTATATCAGAAGAGAAGGTAGACAGGAACAAGATCAGGTTGCATGATTTCTCTTTGGGAAGACATTTTTGTAATTATAATAAATGGTACTTTTGATCTCAATTTTTATAATTTTTTTTAGAATATCTAATTTAATGAAGACAGACCAATGAAATTTTGCCATGACAAAAATTTTCATGGAACTGTTGATCTATCTTAACAGGCCTCCTTGTATCAGTCCTCTATAGACAGAAGCCTGGAAAGACCCAGTAGGTAAGAATCTCATTATATTATGCAACCAGAATATTCTATACCAGTGGTTTATTTTTCAGTAGTAATATTATTCAACAAAATAGTAATGAGGATTATGTATAACTCATTTTTATTCTAAGTACCATGCCTCATAAAGTTGTTTTATTTTGTTCCTTCATTTTATTTAGTCAACTACAAGAATTTATAAAAATTAAGCAAAATAATTCTGGATTATTTTACAGACTGAGGTATTCTTCCCTTCCCTGTCTCCACTACACCCAGTTTTCTTTTCTTTAGGTGGGGTTTATAAATAAATAATTTTCAATGTTGTTAAGTAACCATTTTGATAATATATTTGGAAAAAATTGTCAATTATAAAGTGTTGTACACATATTTGTTCATTATACTCTGACCACACAAATCAGAAATGCTATTACTACCAATGAATGAAAGCTTACTACATACCAAGCATTCTTTTTTGGTCATGAATATTCATGGAGTACAGAGCAAATTGTCACCACTCATGCCTAAGATGTGATGGCTGGATCCATACTGGCAGCATGCCCATTACCACAAATTGTGATTATACCCCCTGTCCCCCACCCAATTATGCCCCCATTATCCTCTACCCCCTTCCCCATACCCCTTTCCCCAATGCACTTTGTATCCCTAGGTATGTTCTATCTCTCTGCAAGTCCAACGCCCCACTGTGCATACCAGGTATTCTAAGTACATATTCCATCCTTGACAACACTGTGAGTTAAATACTATTGTCTTCATTTTATCTCTGAGGAAACTGACACTTAGGCTCAATAACTTACCAAGTTTACACAGTTGACAAGGAACAGAGACAAAACAAAATTAAACCAAAATAGCCTGTAACCACTAAGTCTAATCCCCTAAGAGTCTGCCCAAGGTAAATTCTGTTAGTAAGCTTTAAATATAACGCTTACTTTAAAATATCACCAAAATTTATTTAGAATTTATTTAAACTATTACCAAAATTTGGACATAGTTCAACAGTACTGTTGAACAATACAAACTCCCAGAAATATTATATCATCAACAACAAATATTCATATGACATTAATTTTCCTTTCTATAGATTTCTATCAACATAAGTAGAAAGTTTTGTGAATTGAGTCCTTCATAAACTGGGTTCATGAGTGCCGTCCAACTACACTAATATCGCTAAGAAAGGAGCGCTCTGAGCTCCTCCTTTATTATCTTTTAAATCTTTAAATGCACATAAAAGGTTTGAATTTTAGAGTTTTTATCTGACCTCAAGGCTCTCTGTAAAGACACACAGACCCTCATGTTGACAGGATAGTCACAACAAAAACAAGTCTAGGAGACAGGGCATCCTCCAGTCCTGTGCTTCCCAGGTATGTGTGTTCCATTTACTCACTTGTAAAACTGTGATAGCAGCACACACCTCATTGGTTTGCTGTGCAGGGTACACAAGACAATAATGTAAATATAGCACATCGCACCCTGCTGGGCTCATAGGAGCTGGTGCTGTTGCTGTTGCTCCTGTCACTGTTGTTTCCATAATCTTATCCAGTAATTTGACAGACAGTGTGTTGTGTCCTTTCATTTACTAGAGTTCATCTTAATTAATCCTATACTCAGACTCAAAACCAAGATTTAAAAACTCCCTGCCATTCTAGACCGTTGACCCCATTTTATACAACTGAATGAAAGGAATCTAATAATTTATTTGTCAACCAGATTATTGATCATTCATTATTTAAATAGAAAATGTTGTGATTCCGGTGTAAAGTTTTTCAGAGCTGAGATTAGGAAAAGCTGTAGGCAAGCATTGAGGTGAGAGAAATTTGCCTTCAGCCCTTTCCTCCATGTTGGTGCTACATCCCCAGCCCCAGATATATTCATGTTATTGGAAGTTCCTTTATAGAGAAAAGAAACAAATTGTAACACTGAATTGTCAGCCACACCATAGTACACGAATAGGAGAACTTTAACTTTAAAAGATGATGGTAAATGTACATATCGACACAAAATGTCATGAATACATAACAGCTTTATTCATAATCGCTAAAACTTGGAAGCAAGCAAGATGTCCTTCAACAGGTGAATGGATAAACAAACTGTGGTCTATCCCTATAGTGGAATGTTATTTAGCAATAAAAAGAAATGAGCTATCAAACCGTGAAAAGACATAGAGAAAACTTAAAAGCAAACTGCGAAGTGAAAGAAGCCAATCGGAAACACCTACATACTGTAGGATTCCAACCATGACATTCTGGAAAAGGCTGGACAGTAAAAAGATCAGTGGTGGCCAGGTGTTTAAGGGGAGGAAGGGAGGGTGACAGGTGGAGGACAGAGGTTTTTATGGCATTGAAACTGTTCTATGTGATACAGCAATGACCTCAAAACCCACAGAATGTGCAACACCAAGCATGAACCCTAATGTAAACTAGGACAGTAAAAAGATCAGTAGTGGCCAGGTGTTTAAGGGGAGGAAGGGAGGGTGACAGGTGGAGGACAGGGGTTTTTATGGCATTGAAACTGTTCTATGTGATACAGCAATGACCTCAAAACCCACAGAATGTGGACAGTAAAAAGATCAGTGGTGGCCAGGTGTTTAAGGGGAGGAAGGGAGGGTGACAGGTGGAGGACAGAGGTTTTTATGGCATTGAAACTGTTCTATGTGATACAGCAATGACCTCAAAACCCACAGAATGTGCAACACCAAGCATGAACCCTAATGTAAACTATGGACTTTGGGTGATAATGATTGTCAAAGTGGGCTCATCGATTGTAACAAATGATCCATCCTAGTAGAAGATGTAAATAATAGGGGAAATTGTTGTAAGAAGAAAGGAAGTACAAGAGAACTCTCCATATTTCCCATTTAATTTTTCTGTAAACTAAAACTGCTCTAAAAATAGTCTTTTAAAACTGCTCTAAAAATAGTCTATTAATTTTCTTAAAAGATGATTATAAAGAAATCATGTTTAATGTCAAGGAACGACTCCCCACCAATGCAGTTTGGGGTGGGGGGTTAGGAGGTATACCATTGTCACTAGCGCATTCCACCAGGCTTTCTGGCGCACATGTTAACCTCTTCCAATACCAAACAAACCAATGCTGATTCCTTCTTTCAGTTCTGCAAGCATGGCCAGTGACTTTAGGAAGCGGAGGAAGAGTGAGCCTGCAGTGGGTCCGCCCAGGAGTTTGGGGGATCAAAGTGTAAGCAGGACTAGCCCAGGCCGAGCAGACCTCCCAGGATCAAGCACCACCCTTGCAAAGTCTTTCATTAGTTCCTCCCCTTCTTCCCCATCGAGAGCAAAAGGTGAGTAATAATAACGGATATGCAGACAATTTGCTAGTTTAAGTTGCTATGGTATCCTAGAGTACCCCGTGAGAGCTGGTTCGGGGTAGTGATATGCACTAGCTTTTCCCTACAGTGTCTTGAAAACACATAATTCCACAGTGATAGCTTTCTTCCTACCCAGACTGATTCAGGCTATCAAGCCTCTTGAGTGGCTTCAAAGACTCTGACCAGCATCTGTTAATGCCTTTTTCCCCACAAAATAAATCATTTGTTTGTTTGTTCTTTAATGAATTCAAAATATCAAATAATTTATTGTCAGGCTATAAAAAGGTGACATTTATAAACATTTACATATAGTCAAAATTTTCTAATGTTACTACAGCTAGCAAATTTATCAAATTTATAGAATAGGAATTACAAGCAGCAAGAGGGAATTATTGTCTAAAACATACATTAGTTTTCTTTTTTTAATTATTTAATTCTAGATAAATAATTGCCTAACCAATTAAATTCTTTGATCATTTGCCCTATATTTTGGACAACCTTCGTATATACAGGTAGTGATATGCACTAGCTTTTACCTACAGTGTCTTGAAAACACATAATTCCACAGTGATAGCTTTCTTCCTACCCAGACTGATTCAGGCTATCAAGCCTCTTGAGTGGCTTCAAAGACTCTGACCAGCATCTGTTAATGCCTTTTTCCCCACAAAATAAATCATTTGTTTGTTTGTTCTTTAATGAATTCAAAATATCAAATAATTTATTGTCAGGCTATAAAAAGGTGACATTTATAAACATTTACATATAGTCAAAATTTTCTAATGTTACTACAGCTAGCAAATTTATCAAATTTATAGAATAGGAATTACAAGCAGCAAGAGGGAATTATTGTCTAAAACATACATTAGTTTTCTTTTTTTAATTATTTAATTCTAGATAAATAATTCTAAATAAATAATAATGCCTAACCAATTAAATTCTTTGATCATTTCCACAACAAAATGGTTTATGTCCCAAGAGGCGATTTTCCATTGAGTCTTTGCTGGAGGAGGAAAATCAAAGCAGACATCCTTCTCAGGTACAAAGAAGCTGCACGTCTAAAACCTTGGTGCCAATTCAGATTGAGGTCACCAGTGAAGAGCAACCGAGAACTCATACGGAATTTTCCGACAGTGACCAAGATGGAGTTGTGTCTGACCACAGTGACTACATTCATGTGGAAGGGTCATCCTTTTGCAGTGAAAGTGACTTTGATCACTTTTCTTTCACATCTTCTGAAAGCTTTTATGGATCCAGCCACCATCACCACCACCATCACCACCACCACCATCACCGGCACCTCATCAGTTCCTGCAAAGGCAGATGCCCTGCCTCCTACACTCGATTTACCACAATGTTGAAACATGAAAGAGCAAAACATGAAAATCTTGAAGAACCCAGAAGGCAAGAAATGGACCCTGGCCTTTCCAAACTTGCATTTCTAGTCAGTCCTGTGCCTTTCCGGAGGAAAAAAAATTCAACTCCCAAAAAACGTAATAACTTCGTATAGCATACATTATACGAAGTTATACGACATTCCACATTGTATACATATATCATCACTTTGTACCCCATAAAAACATACAATTACAATTTGTCAATTTACAATAAAATAAAATAGAGAAGATAAACAACCTAACTAAAAAATGGACAAAACAGACATTTTGCCAAAGAAGATATATGAATGGCTAATGAGCACATGAAAAGATGTTCATCATGAGCCATTAGGGAAACACAAATTAAAGCCACAATGATATACCACTTCACATTTACAAGAACAGCTAAAATAGAAAAATACTGACAATACCAAGTGCTCGGGAGGATATAGATAGTGTTCTGTCTCTTACACATTGCTGGTGAAAATGTAAAATAGTACAGCTTCTCTGGAAAACAGTTTGGCAATCTCTTATAAAGTTATAAACACATCTACACTATAATCTAGAAATTCCACTCCTAGGTATTCACCAAAGAGAAATGAAAACACATGTCCAAAAAAAAAAAAATGAAAGCATATGTACAAAAATGTTTATCACAACTTTATTCATAACAGTCCTGCTATGGGTTGAATGTTTGTCCCTTCTAAAGTTCAGGTTGGAACTTAATTTCCAATATGGGATTTGAAAGGTGAAGTCTTTAAGAGGTGATTGGATAGTGAGGACTATGCCTTCAAGAATGGATTAATGGTTAACGGTTTAATGGGTTATCAGGGAGTGGCTCTGGTGGTTTCATAAGCAGAGCAAGTGAGCATGTTAAAGCATGCTCTTGCCCAGCCCTCATTATGTGATACCCTGCATTGCCACAGGACTCTGTACAGAGTCCTCTCCAAGAAGAAGGCCCTCACCGGGTGTGCCTTTTGGATCTTGGACTTCCTGGCCTCCAAAACTGTTAGAAATAAATTTCTTTTTTTTATATAAATTACCCAGTTTCAGGTATTCCGTTATAAGTAACAGAAAATGGACTACTACAAGTCCCAAACTAGAAACAACCTAAATATCCATTAACAGTTGGATGGAGAGGGCCGGCCCGTGGCTCACTCGGGAGAGTGCGGTGCTGATAACACCAAGGCCCCGGGTTCGGATCCCATATAGGGATGGCCGGTTTGCTCACTGGCTGAGCGTGGTGCTGACAACACCAAGTCAAGGGTTAAGATCCCCTTACCGGTCATCTTTTTAAGAAAAAATAATAATAATAATAAAAAAAAATAAACTTCACAGCTCTGCAAGGTAAGATAAAGAATATACACACGTGCATGCCTACATACATATTTTTATTAAATCTAGAAAATAAATTAATTTTTTAATTGAAACATAATTGATTTTACATATATGTGGGGTATAGCCTTGAATATCAATACCTGTATGCAGTATGTGATGCCCAAATCAGTATAATTAATATATTCACCCTTCTGTTTTCATTCTCCCTTCTTTTCCATTCCTTAATTCATTTTCTATTTCTGCTATAACAATCTTATATTGAAATTTGAATTAGACCGTTTAGACTAAAAGTGACTCTCAAGTCTGTTTTCATAGATAGCTTTTAAGTGGCAACACAAAGACAAATAGTAATTCAAATACAGAGAACATTTTTTGAGATTTACATAAAGTAAAAACACAGTGTATTTTGTGTTTTCATTCTCCCTTCTTTTCCATTCCTTAATTCATTTTCTATTTCTGCTATAACAATCTTATATTGAAATTTGAATTAGACTGTTTAGACTAAAAGTGACTCTCAAGTCTGTTTTCATAGATAGCTTTTAAGTGGCAACACAAAGACAAACAGTAATTCAAATACAGAGAACATTTTTTGAGATTTACATAAAGTAAAAACACAGTGTATTTTAATATTTTTATCTAATTCTTTTCATTAATTCTTAAAATGCATCTGTTTACTATGTTAATTTTAAGAGGCTGGAATGAGTATTCCAGGCTGAAACTTGGGGTAACAGAGAACCTTCTATGCACCAGACACTACAAAGTGCTTTACCTACATTTTCTAGTTAAAATTGGCAGAAACCTATGAGATGGATATTAACGCAAGCACTGTTTTACTACTGAGGAAATTGAGGCCCATGGAGAACAAGAAATTTGCCCAAGGTCACACATATAGTATGTAATGGAAAGAGGATTCAAACCCCTAATAATTCAGAATTTATAGTATAAAATATAATCTCAATATCCAAAAAAAAGAGAAATAATCCGGATTTCATGATAGTGTCATATATGTGGCTCAATTGTTAATTACTATTGCACAAATTTATTTTATTAGTATTTATCTTTGCTTTCATCTATACCATGCAGCATGCTTCAAAAATAATAAATTTGAATTTTAAAAATCAACTTCTACAATTGGAAATACTCACTGATTGAGACATGTCAGAATCCAAGTATTTAATAAATTAGCCACCTTCTCCAGTTTTTCAATATCTTAATATAATTATCTCTCAATTTTATGTGCAGATGGAGTACATTATTGAAACATGTTTTGAGAGGGCTTTCAAATGCATTTAAAGAAGATTTTGTTTCTTAATAAAATGTTTACTTTCTAATTGTATTTAGCGTAAAAAATAGTTTATAGTCCATGAGTTAATAAAAGTAATTTAAAATTTATGATCATTTTGAGAGTCCTATCTTAAAAATATATTAACTTAGAATGAAAAATATACTGCACATAGTCTTCTAGCATGCATGAAAATAACTGGTTAAGTTTTACATGAAACATTTGTGGCTGTGTCTCTTTCCTAAACCTAAAGATTTTGGAATTCATAACTCACAGAGTTAGACATTTATCCTTATATATAGTGCAACTGATATCCCACTTATTGTAAGCAGTGAATTCGTCCATATACTCAAAATAGTCAAAACCTTTAAATGTTTTCTTTTTATGGATTGGCCTTTTAAATTCCTTCACATGGATAAAATAAATTTTATTTTAATATCTCTTGTTATTTAATATAACTAAATTTATTAAAGGCTTAAAAAAAAAAAGAATTGGCCGATTTTGACCTAGTGAGACTGGTAGAATTCTATAACATAGGCTACTGGAATACTTTTAATCTCTAGGTGCATTTCCACACATAAGCCACGTAAATGCATAAGGTGTAAGATGCTATTAAGAAATACTTGCAATCATAATTTTTTAATGTAATTATTTATATTTTGCTTTAAGGTGAACAAAAACAGTTCAATATTTTATATGCAATTTGGCAACCAGTATGATGCTTTCTGTTTATCCCTTTGTTTCTTGGAGTAAGTACTTAGTTGATGATAAGGTAGTTTATGAGCTGGCCACTAGGGAAGGCCATCTTAAGATAAAGTATATGACATCTTAAGACAACAATTATTTAAAAACAAGAGAGAGAAAGAGGGAGAGAACGGACATGACCATAGTCCTGTCGTCGTCATACCCACTTTGGTTTTATCTGTTCCTTTTTTCATTACTGCATTGTTGTTCCACAAAGCATTTCTGTTTCTACAAATTGTTACTGTTTTCCAATTCTTCATTCTCTATAGATCTGATAATAGTAATTACAAATTGGAGACAAAAAGAATAGAAATAAAAAATACCGAAATTTTTTAATGTGAAAAATCCCTATGACTATGAATTGCCTACACCGGGTGCTGCAGTATAATTAATCAGCAGTGTAACAATTATATTTATATATACAATGATAATATTTCTGCAACCTCAGATAATTTTCCTTTTGAAATGCTCTTTTCTGTGTCATATATCACAACTTTATAATTACCTGTGAGTTTTATACCCATGTTTTCAATCATGGTGTCTGTCCAAATTTGGGAGGGGAAATAGTTGCCACCAGAGAAAATGACTGAGCAAGTCTGCTTGTAATTACGTGGATCCTCACTGTGACTGGCCCTGCCCTTTCCAATAGACCGCGAGTCCCCTAGAAGTTACTCCTCCACTTTGACTGACTTGGGGAGAAGTGTACCAAGGGAAAGAAGAGGAACTCCAGAAAAAGAGGTAGGTAGTCTAATGGCATTGGGATCTTTTTAAGCAATATGCTTGATAAAGCACTTGACCAGCCAAATTAACATCCAATATCAGTAAATAACCCAAACTGAAAACATTAAGTAACAACTGAGAAGTTAGAAATAGTTTTCCTTGAAGCCTGAGCACAGGACTCAAAGCATTCTGCACTCTGACCCTAGCTCCATTTCTTCCCCAGTTGTGGTCCAGTTCTGGGCAATGAGGCCTCTCCAAGTCTTGCCCTGATATTCATGAATTAACAGTTGTGATCTAAAAGAGTCCTGAGCTGGGCCACCTCACAAAGGGAGGAGGTTTCAAACCTCTGTACAATTTCTCGGCCCACTGATCTAAGAGAAAGACCTTAAGTCAGCTGTGTTGAAAATCAGTACAAATCTACATAAATGGTTTTTGCTAGCTTACTTCCATTGAAGAAGATTTCTGGAAAAAGCTTTTAACCAGCCCAGTGCTCAATGGCTCTGCCCTTGGGAACCTGTACCAACTGACTCTTTGTCCGTGGCCCTGCACCATGACATGAGATCATGAGCTCTTGCTCATACTGTCTTGGAGACACGAGGGTTTGATGGAAACTGAAAGCTGGTCTTGGACTGGCAAACACTCCAGGAGGATCTTAACAGGTGTCTGATATAGTCCAGTCCCTGTAGGACCCCCAAAGAAGTCAGGAATGATCCTGCTTTCCTAAAATTCACCAGAATCACAGGGAAAGAGAATGGGGTGAGCAGATTATTGGTTGATCGGGAAGGAGGAACTGGCATAGCTGGCTGTAGGGTACAGGGTTCCTCAGGTAGATTTGTGGGCCCAAAAGTTGGGGGATGGGCATGAGTCACATCTCATTATGACTAAAAGATGAGCAGCTGCTTGATAGTGTGCTGGAGGATTCCCGAACCCTCCGGGGAATGCAAGATGATCATGCCTATACTTTTGATAACTAACTAGCCTCCCAGTGATAATTGAGCTAATATTTCTTTGCTGATATGTTAATAAATGTTTAGTAAAGGGAAAGATGACTTCCTTCGTGACTTTGGTTCTTTTATTATAAATTAGAAGGAGTTGTGTCAATCCATGGAACACGGAGCAATTGACCCTCCACAGTTATCTCAGGAAAAGTCTTTGTAATAGACACAATTACCAGCATACTTCCGAAAGTTCATTGAAAAATAGAACTAAAAGATAATACGAATATCTCCATGAACTTTTTGAAGACTCCTGTACACCTAGGACAGAATCCTCTGCAAGCATTTTATTTTCCTATTATGGCATTAACCTATCTTAGTTCTTAGGATGAAATATGTCTAAAAGCAGAACTAATTGATTTACATGTAAATTGCATGTAGGATTTACATTATATATGTTTAATCATTCCTTGAGGTTTCACTTTTCTTTAATGCATGCTTTCTTGTAGGAAGTCCAAATTTTAAGTTAGTGCTAATTGTTTACCTTCCTTTTCAGAAATTGCCTGCAAAAGCTGTGTACGATTTTAAGGCTCAGACATCTAAGTAAGTAAGATGAGTACTCATCATATGATTTAAATTGGCTTTAAATATGTTCAGAATACTTTATATGAGATAAATATGGTAATGGGTTGTGTTACAATATAACTAATTGCCAATTCAGCAATTCACTCTAATTAAAAGGTTCTTCAGAATTAATTGGGATGGGTTAATTTTATTTCCATTTTGAGTTTAGTTGAGAAACACTGAGTTTTAAATCACATCGAACATGTTAGATAAAACACAATGAGTTCAAAAGAACAGGAAAAATAACTGTTTCTACAGTTTTTATTTCAAGAATGAATTAAAAATAAAGTGTTGGGGAGTAATTAACCCTAGCTGGGAGAATTTGATACCATTTATTTATCTGGCTACAATGATTAAACTGTGCACAAAAATTTCTGTAGTAAAATCTCCATCTCAGCACAGGAAGTTTAGAGATTCTGAGCAAAGTTCTATCCTGTGGTCTTTTAATGTTGGTGTTTTCATACTCCACTGTTGTGGTATTTCTTTTACCTTTTGTCTTTAGGAACTTGGTCATCAGATAGGCATGTGGTTAAGTAAGGTTCGTACTAAACACATGAGTAGACTTAAATAAGAGAAAGTTGTCCAGATATTGTGTGGCCCATGTGCAAAGACCTTATTTAAGAAACTTTGTTAGAATTCAAGATAATGAATTCATTGTAAATTGCCATTAAATTACACTGTGTTGTTTAAACTGAATATATAATAACCAAAATATTTTATTCATAAAATGCATATAATATGAATTAATAGTTCAAGAAACTATCTCTGGCAGAAGACATATAAAAAATATAATCACTCAATTTGGTAGTGCTGCTGAGAATGAACTAAATAGGAAAAATACTGTTTAGAAATTAAGATGTTGAACATGTCTTAAATCCTGTAAAAAATAAAATCCTGAAGAAAAGTTTACCTCTTCTTTTCGATTAGATAGTAACATCTGCTTTGTTTCTACTGCACTCTGGTCCTAATTACTGTTCTTTGGACGTGGTGTGACAATTTTTACAATGTATGTCAGTTTTATAAAATAATGATGTAAAGCACATATGAGAGTACTTCAAAAAATTGGTGGAAAAGTTGAATTAAAAGATAACATGAACTCTCCCATGAACCTTTTAAAGACCCTTCATCCATTTCATTTCTTCTTTATGGCAATCTATCAAAAGCTTCCTTAAATATATAAAATTCTGAAGAAATAGCAGGGCATGTAATACAGGAAGAGTGTTTGCCCAGGGCTCATAAGGTGTTCTGAGAAATCTTAATAAAATACAAGCTTTGAAGGGGAAAATAACATGCAATTCAGAGGAAAGGTGCTTGGGGTCTTGATCGTATCACTGGATTTTGTTTACTCCATGTGCCAGGCCCCCACCCTCTTCCATGGCCACGTCCTCATGGCCATTGAGCGGAGAGTCCGGGAAACTCGCTGTCCCAAGCACTGCACGTGGGCGTGGAGACAGCACAGACTCTGTCAATGGTTGTCCCTACCCCCTGCACCTTTCACCAAGGTCGTGACTAGGTTTTTCTAAACCAATGGTATCTAGTTTTACAAGCCTTCAGAGAGGTGGATTAACCACCCACAGAAGCCTTCTCATAATTTGAATAAGAAGAAAGCGTTTCTCTTATACTATAAATAAGTTAATCATATTGCAACTTAATCACATTCCTCTTCTGTTCTCAGGGGATATAGGGAGCAGTTGTTCATCATCCCCAATGTAGTTATATATTTGAAACAAAAATCGGGGTGACAGACAACAGGGGACAGCTTTAAAAGACTCACTAACCCAAACAGCACTAGAAGTTATGGAAAGACCAGTCATAATTTAAATGATTTCAATTAATAGGTAGATGAGAGTGCTTTTATGAACAAGAAACACATGTATCTGTTTTAAATAAATATCTGTTTTAAAAACTATTTTTCTTTACCTCATTCAAGAAAATTTAATATTAATAATTTTTAAAATACAACTAAGTAACTCACCAAAAGCAATGTCTCAATTTTTAAATAGGAAAAAGAGATAAAATGTCATTCCAAAGGTTGTCAATGGCTACTATTCAAAAATGGAAAAAAGAAAAAGCAAATTTATCAAAGTGGGACTCAGAAATTCTAGCTCTGAGATGAGAAAGACACAGTTTTGAAAACTGGAGAGTAAGACAACTTTCCCTTTTCTATATAACTTCGAAACTTTAAATGTAAACCTATACAAATAGAAAAGATTTCTTTTTATATTTGTAAGACAAAAATTAGTTGTCTAATTTACATGTACGAAGGTACTTCAAAAAGCTCAAAAAGTTTTCCATGAACTTTTTTAAGTACCCTTGTATATTAAAAAAGAAAACAAAAAACTAGTTTCATTTCCAGAAACGAAACATACATGATACAAAAAAAACTATACTATTTGGTTGTAAACATTAAATGTTTTGTTTTGTTTTCTGTTTTTTAGATTAGGCATTCGCATAAAAAAGGGAAATACTGTATTTGAGTGTAAAGCTCTGTGAAGCTTCTTTGTTTTGAGGGTTACTGATAATTCAATGCACTTTCATTGTCGAGATTTTAGCGCTTCTAAATGTGTAATAATTCTTTTAATATTTAACAGTTTTCTCAATTAAGTCTTTTAATCAATGAGAAATATTCTGCATCTGCTATAAGCCTCTGTCCATCACATATTCTGCACTAATAAATGATCCAACTTAAAATTCTGAACTAAACAATGCAGAAGATTCAGGAGTGGGAAGGCAGATGTGTAGGAAAGTGAGACTCTTGGGAAAAGATGCAAATTAATTGCCTTCCATTAAAGTATAATTGTGGAGGCAAAATAATGAAGCAACATAATTACCTGGGTGATGAAGCCATGAAAACTTGCTGTAGGAAGGGTGATACATTTAGGCATGAATTATTCAAAATGAATAAACTCTTTATAACTTAAAATTATAAATACCCAAATGTATCTACTATCTTTTTAGATACAGCCAAAATGGAAAAATAAAGTTAATGTCTTGAAAATATTTTAATTTTTTTAAAAACAAAAGAAGAGAGCAAGCATTTGTGCAAGGCTTTGCACTTAAGACAGTAAATTTTGTGCCCCATAGAAAAATAAAAGTATGACATCTTTTCTACTACACAAAATAAATTTCTTATCAAAATACTTCTACTTAAATACCTGTCAACCAAATTCAAAAATCTACAAATAAAATTTTTCTGATGTTGGCACTTCTGTACTGAGGTCACATGATATTTGTTTTTCTCATTGTAAGCTTTAACACATCGAAAAGTGATTGGGTAAGGGGATAACCAAGCTAACTAGCTTCAGGACAAAAAAAAAATAAGTGCAAAAGTAATCTATCATTTTGCCAGACTTCACAAAGCCTCTACTATAAACTAATGATTAGATAGCAATAGTCTGTTTTCTTCTTAAAATTTCACATTAATCTGCCTGAGATTTATATCAGACACCATGTTTATACTTGTTCTTCTTGAAATCATTTCTAAAGTTATAATGTTATAAGTGAATTCCAAGACTTTGCAAGGAAAATCCTTATCTAACTGAGCTTGATGGGTTTTTCAAAATTGAAAGTATATTTCCCAAACAAATTCAAATCTAGTGAAGGTATTGATCTTAAGAACAATTGCTCTATATTAAGAAAAAAGTCATTTAAACATGTCTCTTCCAGGGAGCTGTCATTTAAGAAAGGAGATACTGTCTATATCCTCAGGAAAATTGATCAAAATTGGTATGAGGGAGAGCACTACGGAAGAGTGGGCATTTTTCCAATCTCATACGTAGAGGTAATAAGTCCTTTTCCCTTTCCTCTTGGATGGTGGTTGTTTCAAAGTCATCACAGCTGCAAAGATAAATGACTGTTTTCCTTTCTAGAAACTCATCCCTCCTGAAAAAGCACAGCCTGCAAGACCACCTCCCCCAGCCCAGCCTGGAGAAATCGGAGAAGCTATAGCCAAATATAATTTCAATGCAGACACAAATGTGGAGCTATCACTGAGGAAGGTAACCAGCTGTTTTCTTCCTGGGTGCATTTGAAAAAAATGCATATTTTCAAAACTAAAATAGAGTATCTTCTTCCTTACACACTTTTGTGTTTTCCCCATTTTCTACAAAGGACTAAAGGCTACCCAGAGTCACTGTTACCTCCTGGTCTCTGTGTCCTTCCAGGTGAGGTTCTCTGTGGGGCATAAAGCTTCCCTGAGAGCCTCCCTTTGTGCTTTAACCCAGGAAGCAGGGCCCCAGATCCTCTCCAAGAGGTGCATCAGGCTGAATATGAAGGAGTTATACATGTGGGAGCATCAGGAGGAAAAAGCACAATCTTGATTCCACTGCAAAATGTTGTTATGCCACTTTATTATTCAATCTTTTAAAAACAGATGACCCAGTACTTACTTTTCCCTGTCTTGGAATCAAGGAATGTTCTTAAAGTAATGAAGATAAGGAGAGAACAGAACTGAGGTCACCCGAGGTGGGAAAGGGGAAGGAGAAAGGGGTTAGTGAGAAATTGGTAGAGGGCCACAAAAATGATTACATAGCATAGTGTCAAATATACTAATTACCCTGATCTGAGCATCACGCATTGCACACGGGTACTGATGTTCAATGCGTACCTACAGATATGTACAATCAATTATGTTTCAGTTTTTAAAAGTTGAAGTAATAAAGATGCTTCTTGCCTGGGAGCCTCCCTCAAGAGCCATCTGTGCAGTGCTATTTCCTTGACCATCCTCCTCTGGGCCTCATGACTGACCCATTCACTAGCAACGCATCCTATTCTAGTATCTCTTCTTAGCAATATTCAAAAGGACTCTTAACCCACTATTTTACACAGTTGGGAATGATAAATGAACTATTTCTACTGTTTGCTAAACAATGACATATATTTGTTTAAGGTAACTGCTTGTCTGCACACAGCACAGACTAGTAATGTTTAGGGTGGTTCTGGGACCTCCAAATTCTATAATTCTCTGGGGGTTGGGGGGACGTTATGTAGAAAATGAGCTAGAGCAAAAATTTTTAATTAGGGTTTGTAAGTCAGCTTGTTTATTAGTTTGAATGAAAATGTTGTAGGTTATTAGAAGTCTTCGTTTATTTTATTAGTTTTAGGATAATTATATGCCAGTTCTGTTTCACTTGAGCCAGTAACTAAAGAGGATTATCTTTCTTGATGTGTAATTTAAAAGGGACTTTCCTTCCTGAACTGATTAATTAGAAAAGACTATCCTACTTTCTTTACTCACAATGTGAATTTTTTTTTTCTGTTGAATTATAATATATTCTTTTAATGGGTGGCATTTAGGGATTTCTTTCTCCTTTTCATTAACTTCAAAGTGTAAAACTTCAAATTACCAATGAATTACTTCCAAAATATTGTAATTCCCAACTTTTTAGAAACGTATTGGGGCCGGCCCGATGGCGCACTCAGTAGAGTGTGGTGCTTGGGAGCACGGGGGCGCTCCCGCCGAGGGTTCGGATCCCATGTGGAGACCGGTCCGCTCACTGGTTGAGCGTGGTGCGGGTGCGACACCGGGGGTTGTGATCCCGTTACAGGTCACGAAAAAAAGACAAAAAGGAAAAAAAATGTATTAAGTTGCATAATTTATTAATTATTTTAATTGAGATCGAAGCTGAGACATAGAAAAATAAACCATCTAGGGCTAGCAAAATAAAATCAACATATCAAACATTATTAAAATATGAAGTCCGTTCATGGTCCAATGCAAGATCCTCTCAAGACAGTGTTCCCAGTGACCTAAACTACTCCTTAAAAATGAGTCTTAAGAAGGATTTTACATAAGTAAATGATGTAAGAATCTGCTATTATAAGAGAGGCATTTTCTTTTAATGCCTCACTAAAGCTAGGCATTTTATGTATTCGAATCCTCCTTGAAGATTGGGTTTCAGTTGTGGGTAATTACCCTCAATTCTGTATCATTGGATAATGGAACAGTTTGGTATTACCCAATTTTGTTTGATTGATTATAAAGTTTTCCAGAATCATCTTAAGTATGTTTACTTCACTACCAGTGCTTAACATTTAGAGTTCAACATTCTTCCTTCAGTGGTTCCTGCTGAAAAAGAAAAAAGTAAGAATCTTCATTCATATATTGTCTCATCCACCACTCAGTCATCTTGAAAGAACTACCAGATAAATTTCAAACAACTATACCTTCAAATAAAATATTAAAGGAGGAAAAAGCTCATTTAACATTTAGAAAAATTCTTCTATATGCCCTAATTAGCAATGTAATATAATATTTTAGATCATGTTGTTTTAATATTCTTTGTGAATACAATTTAAATGTATTTTCAGGGGGTTTTTTTGGTAATACCAAAATTTAGAGGAATGTACAAATTTTACTAATAACTACTTAGTGTTTTATTCTCACTGCTAGAAAAAACTATGTTGAAAAGCATATGTACCATAATTTGGAAGAAATATTTAATGGTTTTCTCCCAATTGGTAATCCATGCTATGATGTCATTGGCTTAATGAAAGAAACCTTTCAGAAATGTTGCACTCCATCATTTTCAGAAAGAGAAATACTATGTATTTCTACATAATGATGTCCAAAACACACTAAATTTTGGCTATTCTATTTTCTAACTGATATTTGCAAACAGAGGAAGGTACTCATTAATGATTCATGAATCACTCTTTGACACATTCAAATCATGTTTCTGGACATATTACCTCTATTTTAGGGGAGGCTCAAATGTAAGTTGATATTATTTCTGATATTTCTGCTTTCAGTACAATAGAATCCAATTCTAATGCTTTTGAAAGATAAGATAATTGTATGATTTCTGTATTATACATAGTTTTGTGATATGGGTATCCCAGGACACTTAATTTGACTTTCAGTATAATAAGTCCATTGTAAAGCTAAGCACTTTTAACTTTTTAATATGTATATCGGTGATTATGGTGGTAAGGGCACTAGAATAGGAGTAGCAGATAGCAGTAGCAATGTGGTAGTAATGACAATAATGGAATTTAAAGATCTTTTTTTCTCATCCATATCATATTTCTTTCCATGAGAGAAAGTGAAAATGAAAAGTAATAATCTTAAATTAATGTATATTTCATACACTTTCAAATTCTCATTATTAAAAGCTTTTCTGTTGCATAATGAAGAGCTTAAAGCAGAACTCTAGCCAATAAGGGAACTTCTGTAGACTGTCAAATGAGATTTAGGTCATTTACATTTTCATTAAAAATTCAGCACCTACAGGACTCAATAGGAGTGGCTGTGTGCCCAGTTAACAAACCACATGTACAGTTTTACTTTTTTTTTTTTTTTTTTTTTCCTTTTTGAGACCGGCCGCACCGCGCTCAGCCAGTGAGTGCTGTGAGTGCACAGGTCATCCCTATATAGGATCCGAACCCACAGCGGGAGCGCCGCTGCGCTCCCAGCGCCGCACTCTCCTGAGTGCGCCACGGGCTCGGCCCACAGTTTTACTTTATATCAGGCACTAAGCAGTCTTCAGTTCTGAATCCTGTGTTAAGATCACATGAGTTTTGTGACACTTTGTGCCATTTACACCCCCCAATGACATGACATCATATTTCATTTGTTTACAAAAAGCTAAATAAATTCAACTAATGTCCCCTTCCTATTTAGGACAGAGAAGTCAAAAGTTAAGTGGAGAATGCATTGTGACTTCTACACACTAGGCCCAAGGACCACGTGCTGGCTGTATGTGTGAGGTATTGTCCTAAACCATCAGCTAAACAGTGCCTCTCCAAAATCTTTCTTAAAGATTTTTTCTTTCCAAACCGAAATCATCTACCTAGAAAAAACTAAAGTCAAAGCTCATTTTACCAACTTCTCTTAGGGCCTTTTTATATATAGCATATAACATTTTTTCTAGTCCAGCAAGGATAGATAAATGTTACTAGGCGGAACTTTTAGGACTGCTTTTACTGAATTTGCATAAAAATTTAAATTTACTGTTTTGTTTAATATATCCAAAATACATCAATAATATTAAGATATACAGAAGTACATTTTTACTTCAGCATATTAAGCTTCATAAATTACTCCTCCTCAGGTTTACATGAGATGTCAAGCTTCTGAGGAGAAAGGGAGTCTTAGCAGAAGTTCACTCTCCTGTGAGCATCATACAATCGCTCTCTTTCTATGTAAACATTTACTTTGGATTTTTTTTTTTTACTTTGAAAGTTATGTAGGTTCAGTTTTGTTCTGATCATGGGTTTCTGTTCTTGAAAAATATTTTTCAGAACTTATTCGCTTAGAAATGTGTTAATGTATGGTGGTCTAAAACATTTTATAGCATATGTTATAATCACCTTGCCAAGACAAGTGAGAAAATTGTGAAAGTTCAAAAGATTGGACATTACTTCAGGGAGAAAGAACACTAAATAAATTCAGGGAATAAAAAAGGCTTAGCTATTGGTTGGGTTTTCATTCTACATCAACATTTCTTCAGTCATTTATGCTACTAAATCAATATCTGGAAACCTGCAATACCTTTTAATCACAGTTTAAACGTAGTTTAAAAGAGGTAGACTACTAAGTTAAATCTCTTAAGGTTTCACTGTCTGTCCTCATAATCTCTCTGACTTCATCTCGTTATTTGACACTTAAGACCTCTTCTAAAACTAGTACAATTTCATTTTTTCAAGTAACTTTTCTAATTAACATGCTAATGATTAGATGAATTTAAAGTCAGCAAAATATCTTCAAATCTATGTAAGTTATAACATAAAATTATTTTTATATTCACTACCACACCTTTCCTGCATTTCTCTGTCTCTGTGTTTTGATGCATTATTATTATTATTTTCTTGGTCTATTTTTTTTTAATTTCATAATCCCTGCTCCCATCTAAGTTGGCTTCCAGTGAACCAGCCCCTCCTTCCATGCACAAAGCTTCACCTGGCTCAGATACAGGAGCTCTTCAGGGAATCACCCCGGGGTGGCTGTCCTCAGCAGCCACGTGTCCACCAGCAAACCCTTTGGCCCCAACACTGTCTCTTTTCCTGGACAACTTCTTGGTTGAATTGGAGAAGCTTAGTGCTTTAACCTTACCAGCTGACCAAGCCAAACCAAATCTCCTAGAGGAGCTCATCCTCCCCCCATTGCCTTCAGCATCTGCACCTGCAGAATCAGCTCGCTCTCTGGTACCTTTCCCTCACCCGAGTGTGACCTCAGCTGCAGCCCAGCCTCAGGATGCGACGCCACTTCAGGATCCCATAAAGACAACTCAAAACAATTTTGCAGATTTGAAAAAAATGAGAAGGGGCTTTTCGGACCCTGAAAAGATGCCTGAAGTCCTAGGTGATAAGTTTGTGGCATCTGCATGCACCAGTGTGGGTTCCTTGCCCATAACCCTGCCTGTCATTGGAGAGGAAGATGAGGAAATCTGTGAGGGGGGTGTGTCAGGCACCCCAGGAGGGCTGCCAGAATCTCAAGAACAAGATACCTTGTGGTATGTCCATGATGGTACAGAGGTGGCACCAAACCTGCACATCGAAGAGGAGGAAGAAGAGGGGAAAGCTAACTGCTTAAAATATCCATTAGTCACCCCCACAGATCCTAGGAACGCTAACGAAGACAGCAATGCAGCAGAAACCAGTATTGAGGTATTTTAGTTTTCTTAATTACTGAGAATTAAAAAGTCTTACTGCAATTAGCTAGTGCAGTAAATCATATTAATAAACATTATTAATCATATTAATAAACATCAATTAGACACTGCTTTGGCAGGTTTTCTTAAAAGAAACATAAGCATTGCATGAGTCAGGGGTAGAGGAGCATATGGAAACACACCATATTTTAATAAAATGATGTAAATATATGATATAATTCCATTATCCCATCATTTCTTTATGACTATAAATTCATATTTTAAAAGCCTTTGTAATTCATATAGTCTTTCTAATTTTCCGATATTAATAATGATAGCTAATAATTGAGCTCTTGCTGAGTGTCACACCCTATTCTAAGAACTCTACATCTTTAATTTTCAAAACCCAGTGGTGGGTGGATGGTATTATTATCCCAGCTTTAGAGTTGAGAACATTAATGCACAGAGAGATTAGACCAATTCCAAGATGAGAAAACTATAAACCATACCTTTGATGTAATGGCACTTTGTAAAGCAAAAAATAAAATAAAGAAAAAGAAAGCCAAAAGAAAAACAGTACTCCAGTCCACCCCCTCTTGACTTTTCTGAAGAGGTGATTTTCTTCTAGTGGGTAACTACTTAAGAGTTGGTCCTGCATATTCAACTTGCAAACAAAGGGCCTTGGACAATGATTTTAATCAACAAAGGGGGAAAATATCCTGACATTTTAGCTTGTAAACTTCTCTCCTTAGAAAAACAAAAACCACACTTCATCTCTCTCAAATATGCATCCCGTGCTTTAAAAAGTGAGTAAAATTATTGGCAAATACTGAAATTAAAAAATAGAAAGAATGGTTCATATTATGTCACAGTGCGAGTCATTTTTCTGCATGGTTCATCTATTTCAAACCCCTAAAAAATGAAAGTCATTTTTTAAACCCCATAGTCTCTTATTAAGATCTCACCAATAACAAATGTCAAGTGCCTTGGCCTGTAGAAGATGTTCTTGGGGTTAAACAACGGTCAGTGCCCAGGAAGCCTTGGGCACCCAGAAAAATCTGAGGCTTGGCTAGTTCCCCAACCAGCAGGGAAAATGTCATGCAAACAAAGAACCCAGCCATGCCTGCGTTTGTATAAAACCAACACACTACTCAGTAACAGAGATAACTTACTGCAGCAAGTTAAACATGTTTCTGAGTCAATTATTTAAACAACTAATTTTCCCTTCAATTTAATCAGTTTTAAGACATAAGTAAATACATGGCCTGGTTGACAGGCAGTGCCACCTGCCTGTTGCAGGCAGTACCCCAGGCATGGCGCTTATGTCATCAGGGTGAGTTAGGCAGCTGGAGCCTACCGTGCACATAGAGGCCGTAAGTGCCCCACCTCTGTAACAAACTGACTATTTATACATAGTTTTTTACCTACTTTACAAGCATGTTGCAAAGAGTCACTCACTGCAGCATTTTAGATACTTTTTTAATTCACTTTTAGAAAAAGCCATTATGTAAATGGATTATAAAATTGAAGAATATAGGTGTTCTTGTCTCCAGCCACCCACATCCAAAAAATTAAACTGAGTCAAATTCAAAAGAAAAAGTTAGTGCCTTTAAATCAAGAATCTGTCATAAATGTCACTTCCCAGGGTATTTGGTAGCTTTAAAATATTTAAGTTTGGAGGATACTCTAAAGAGCATGTAACCTCATTATGCACACACATAATCGCATCTTGTCTTTGCTCAATATTTAAGCCATCGTCGTTTTCTCCGGGAGATCGAACGGCTACACCTTTTCCCAGCTGTCTGCTTTCCTCTCCTCCATTTCCTTCTCCCTTGGCCTCTGTTTCTGACCTGGTTTCTACACTTTCTCAGCCTACCCAGCCCACCTCACCTCCTCTTCTCCCTAAATACTCTTATCAACAGGAGATAAATTCACCAAAACTCAAGGTAACTGCATCTTGAGTGTGCTTGATTGCATGTATGTAAATGAACTTCATTAATTAGATGTATGTATTTCGATTTTGTGCCATCTTACAAGATCTAAATATTATGTAAATATTGATTGCTAACTTTTAACATCATGAGCATGGTCTCTATCCAAAAAATTTAAAAAGATGTGTTTGCATAGCAGCTATAACGAGGTGGAAGAGTAAAGCAAACTAAAATTTATATCATAATAAAAAGTAATCATTAGATTTTTCCAAAAAAAATGTGAGGGTCAGCATGAGAACGATCACTTTCAAAAGTGTCAGCTTTGTGCCTCTCATCCTCTGTCACTGCTTAGTGAGCTCATTGCCTCCCGTCATTTCTGCCCGTCAGCAGGCTCAGCAGAGCCTGAGGGCAGGGTGATCTTTGGCAGTGACTGTCATGAGCCTCGCTCTTCCACAGAAGGGAAGTAAATTAATGAGGATGCAGGAAGGCTGATTCTTTTGTAGCCATTGACAAAGCATCCATCTCCGAGACTTGCAGTCTGGCAGCTCTGTTAGTATTTAACTCCACCTAAAGATACCGTTAAAAAAATTGTTTTAACAAAATTAATAACTAGCCTTAGAAAGAGATTTAATGAGAAGCATAGCATGAAATCAGTCCATCACAGGAAAGTTTTGCCTGTATGTTTAGAATGATCCTGAAACCTTTTCCTTTTGACAAAAAGTGATAGACTTCAGATACCTCATCATGACATTCAGTCTTTTCTGCAGAAAAGTAAAAACTGAAGGCTCTGACTCAGCCTAGCTTCTATATTGGGAAGCACCAAAGTGCTGAAAAGTGCCATTTACATAATCTTCAAAATCCTATCACCAAATCCATTCACCAAAATAGTCCATTTATGTGAATTCATCTTAGGTGTGAAAGGAACTTTTGGGGAAAAAATGGGATCCTTTAAAAACTAATTGCTCTTTGCTCTTTGAATTTTTATTTTCGCTGACAGAAAATAATTAGAAAGTTTTTAAAATAATGCCACTTTATATAATGTCTAAGGCTAAGAATTTGCCCTTTCCCCCTTTTTTCTCTGGTTTTATTTTTAATGCCAAAGCATTTATTCCTTGCCTTTTCTTACTTCAGCCTTTAAGTTTAATCAGTAAGTGGAAAAGTAACTTTAGAATCTGAGTTCTACAATTTAGAGAGGTGGAGGACTTACCATTGTAGTATCAAGGACAGAAGCAGGATTTGAAAAGGTTTATTTTCCTGCAGGAACCAAGCTCATCTCATACATTAGGTTTCAGTTGTTTACAGAATGCTATGAGAGAATAGAGATGTTCACCGTAACTACGTTTTAAAAGAATACTTCAATAACTACATAAAATAACTAACTCCAGAAAAACAAAGTGAATTTTTTTCTATTTTATCTCATATTTGGGAGCAAATGTTGATTTCACTGACTTTCTTTAAGACCTTATAAATCTATGCCTAGTATTAGAAAGAATATAAGTTGACTGAAGTAATTTCTGCTTGTAAATATAAAGAGAAATTTAATCAACTCCAAATTTTTGGCCACTGTTATAATTTAACACACATCTGACACAGTAACAGAGTTGATTTGAGTCCTTTAAGAAGGCTTTGTATTTCTTCCACTTCAAGAATGTTGGAAATTATGCTCATGATAAAGAAAGAAAGTAACCTAGCACTAAAAGCAAAGAGAAAATAAAATTTCAATAATGTTTTAATAGGTATGGTATAGTAGGCATGAAATCATTACAGTAACATTTTCATCAACCCCTATCAACCATTGTTTAATTAACCCATGTTAATTCAATGCAATTTTATTATATTAGAATATTTTCTAAGAAAATGAAAATCTGCTGTATGCAATTCAAAATGTTTCATAAAAGTAAAATTTACTACCACTTTACAGATTACAGAAGACTGAAAGATTTATGTTATGAATTTGATGTATAAATCTGAATCCAATATTTTCCCTAGTCTTTTGAACATCTGTTTTTAAAATAATGGTCTTTCATAATAAAAATTATTATGTCTCAGTTCCTTTATAAGCTGAGCTTCTAGATCCATCCATGATAATATTTTGAAAGAGACTCATAGCACGTGGACTGAAATTGCAGTAGAAGCTCTTTACGAAGAGAGAGAAAGACTCTCAGATTTCTTCCAAGAAACACAGGTTTTGTGGTCCTGCAAGGAGGTATCATCACCCCAAAGCAACCCCATGAGAAGGCGATTTCTTTGAGCACAGTTTCCAGCATGAAATTAGGCCCTCGTTCAAGTGAGAGCCTAATATGTATGTTCAAGTGATCTTTCTAGCTGTGATTGTCAACATCATTCCAACAGCTAATTGTTTGTTTTTTCTCTATGAACCTTGATACGTATAGACCCCTGTAGTAGTCAAGGGTGCCATAACTGCAGTTCCAGAAAACTCAAAATAATTACAGCTCAAACAAAGTAGCAATACATTTTTCTTATGCATAAATGCAGGACATCCAGGACTAGTATGGAGGCTCCACACTCATCAGAGAACCCAGAAGATTCCATTTTATTGTAGCACATCACCATCCTCAACGAGAAGTTTCCACCATGTGGTCCCCAAGATGGCAGCTCCAGCAGTTCTTTCCTTATTCTAGCCAGTGGGAAGGAGAAAAGAGGAAGGGAGGGTACGCCTTCTCCCTTGAAGGAAGGCCACTTGCCAGAAATTGCATATACCCCTTCCACAAGAACCTAACGCGTGAGCACATCTAGATACAAGGAAGGGAGAAAATGTAGTCTTTATTCAGAATGTGCATGTGCCTCCCTAACATCCCGTGTTTCCTCACGAGGACAAAGAGAATGGATATTGGAGAACATCAAGCATTCTCTACCACCACCCCCAAGCAGACATGCCAAACACATTTCATCCCAAGCAAGTGGGGATTTGAGGCCAATCATTACTAGTGATTATAAAAATTTTCCTGAATGAGAGTTGAGAAAACTACATGCTTTTATTTAAAAATCTTTTAGTTCTCCTAAAGTTCTCTTAAGTCAGATCATTTTGTCCACTATTGGAAAGAAAATAAAACATACACACAAGGAAGTTAGCTTATTTGCTGTCATATTCAAGATCTCACTTTGAAAGAATATCAAAACAATCAAGATTGTACTTAGGGCAATATTCAGTATTTAATTATATTTCACCATTTTTCCCCCAAAAGCCTTATTTTCTTCTTATGTGTTTTGTAAAAAAAATCTGCCTCTGACAAATGTTTGACACTTTCCATGAAACATGATAGATATTAAGGCAAATTTTCCTCTGTCTTACCTTGCATCTATTCAATAAGCACAGGTCAGATTTGAGAGTAACTTGAACTCAATTGTTAACCATTTTATTAAAGAGGTAATTTTTCTGATATGCGTTCTTAGCCATCTGTATTGCATTCAAACATCCTCTCTATGCCAACTTCCCTCTATAAGTTATTTCTCTGCTATGCCTGTGAGTCCCAAATTAAAACAGCAGCTGATGAGTGTGGTGTGGAAACTATATGGAGCCACCAGAGGAGCTGTCTGCAGGCTGTTAACCCTTCCTGCTCTGCTATTATTCCGGAGTAAGGCATGTTGTGTGTGCATGGAAAAAACAAAACAAGAAAACTCCTCCCGAAGACTGTTCAATGAAGACGAGAACTAACTAACTTCTTATGGATTTTCTAGGCTGATTTAAAAAGCGAGATGTTTATCCTGGGTAAGCCTCCTCGTAGCCCAGGGACGTCTAGGAGATCCTGCAGCTCACCTGTCAGAGGGCTCAGCGGTTCCCACAGGGTAGGGTCAAAACACCCCCACCTTGTGGCAAACATCCTGGCCACCCTCTCTCTGTGGGCTAGCTCTTCCTTAGTTCTCTTTGCTGTGACCTGGCAGTAAAGCAGGGCTGGAGATATCCTTGCAATGAAGTGACTGATGATGCGCTAGGAAATAAGATCAGCACGAAAATCCTATCCTTAGTCTTGGATAATGTACTTTGTTTTTATCTGTGTGGGGGGTCTCCAAAATCCAAATGACATAATCACGTTCTCCACTGTACAAATAAAGGTGTAATGTGCATTGTTTTCTATATCTGTCTTGTTTCTATACTAAACCGCTGCTTTCTAGTCACTGTTTTTAGTGCAAAGAACAAAACTGTTGCCAATCATATACTGAACTCACACAATTCCAGTAATGTTTGCTTCTGTGTCTTTGAGATTATTTGAATTTTTTTTTAATCCATGATCCTTGTTTCAAAAAATGTTGCTCTGTTGATATGTGCTACAATCCCTCAACGCCCTTCTCCCCAGTACTGCTCTCTGGACTCTATGCACTCCCATTTCCTTGACAGCTTGGATTGAACTTAAAGACCGAATTACTTTCCCTTAACTGCTTACTTCTATAACATCTACAGCACTTTAAAATGAGTGGACTCCCAGTGATACTTTGAATTCTGAGGAACGCAGCCAGGAAGTTTGGGCATTATCATCCATGCATAAGTCAGGATTCCTTTCACCATTTCTATTTTAATGGGCCCTGGTTTAACCTTAACTGGCCTATCACATGGCTACGGTTTTGCATTTCAAGTTCTGAAGGGCTAGATTTCAAAGCAGTTTTCCTTTTCCATTTTTTAAAAAAATGTAGGTATTGTTATATATTTAGGCTATTTTGTGCTTTTTGCTTTGTGTAGTAAGATGTTGTTTTGTTGCTGAGGCAGAGATTTGTGTTGCCATAGAAAGAGAAGAATGTTGATTTGCAGAGATTCTTAGACTCCACTAAAAGGCCTCCCAGAGCCAAAACAAAAAGAAAGCTTTTTCCACAACTAACAGGGCCCATCCATAAATTTCCTAATGGGTCAATGAGATGGTATGCTTCAAATCGCTTTCAGTTTTTTCTTTGCCAGATTTTTACATAATGTATGATTACACATGTTTGTGTGGACCATAAATATTTTATTTTCTCTAGATTTAAGCAAAGCTGAGTTTTACCTTTATAATATAAGAAGGAAAAATAAGCCTATAAAAATAAACATGGTACTGTTATTAGGAGAATTGCATCTAATTCTGGTTGGCAAGTATATAACTAACACTTTCTGGAAAAAAATTAATTTAAAAACTTTAGAATTGTTTTAATGATGCTTTCAAAGATTTTTCCACATTGATATTTAATGTAACAACCAATCCTTATTTAAGAATTATCTTAATACTAGATATAGCTAGTTCTTTAGAAATACTTCTGCAGAATCACAGATAGATGGCTTTCAGACGGACTGTTTCACCGTCTTAGAAGTGTGTGTTTTACAGATGCCAGAGATTCTAGGATATTTCAGACTGGCTTTCCTATGAACAGTGGTTTATGATTAGTTCCAACTTCGGAAATTAGCATGTGTTTAAAACCTGTCTATTTTGTATCCATGTTTGACAACACTAAAAAGTAGCTACGCTAAAAGAGAAAAAAAGTGATTGTTACATTGCTAAGGGAAATTTTAAATATCTAGGATACCATGGAAACATCATGATGCTTCACTGAATTTTCTGTTTTACTGTACTCTTAAGACTTAGAAGGTAATATAAGCATAATATGATTCTTGCTTACACTTATTGTAAGCCTCTCTGAATGTCACAAGTATATACTATTCTATATTTATCTCAAAACCGCTAAGAAGTTATGAGTAATAGAAATGACTTTAGGGCCGGCCCGGTGGCGCACTGCTACAGTGCGCCGCTTGGGAAGCGCGGCAGGCGCTCCTGCCGAGGGTTCGGATCCCACATACAGACCGGCCGCTCACTGGCTGAGCGAGGCGTGGGAGCGACACTGAGGGTTGCGATCCGTTGCCGGTCACGAAAAAAGACAAAAAAAAAAAAGAAATGACTTTAGCTGATAGTTAAAATAGAAATGAAGACAGACCAAAGATACTGGTGGCTAGCAAGTGATTCCTTCTCAGGAATTTTAAACGTGAGAAGGGAAGAACATGGTCAAAAAAACAGATGAATATCTATTCCACATTTCTCTGTGGTCTTTAAAACATCCTTTCAAAATTATTCCAGGCTGAAAGAACTTGGTGGAGTGGACCAAAGGCAAAAACAACTTTCAGCTTGTTGCTGCCGGTGCTTACCACTAGGTGGCAATAGAGCGCAGACACATTGCACATCTTTTCTTAAGGTCTGGGGGGTTGGGAGGAGGCAAAAGATAGTCTCCTGAGATAATTCGCTTGAATACCCGTACAGAACATACACACCTGCCTGAGGGATAAAACAAAGATGCTGGTTTTAACCGAGTTATGCCATCCATTCCATCATACTAATCTTTCTTCCAATAAAAAGTGCAAGTCAAAATTATTGTTTCTTATTTTTACCTATTTGTTATATTGAGAAATTATCCAATATCTTTGAATTTTCGTTTGCTAATCTGCAAAATGAAGTTCAGCTATTACCATTATTGTTTCTGCATGATGGAGACGCGCAAGAGTTGACCAACAGATGTCAGTTGTCACAGCTCTCTGACAACTGAATGTGTGAACTAGCTAATGGGAACTTTTACATAGTAGAGGAAATATACCTGTGGAAATGTGGATTCCTTTACAGGTTTCCTAAGGGGGGCAACACTGTCATCTTGTCCAATGCATTGATTTCAGATATAAGGAAGCTGAGGGCTATTCCCAAAGTCATACAGCAGTCAATGCCAAAAGCAAAAGACACAATGTGTCCTTATAAATAAATATTAATGCTACTTATTCTTTTATTGGTCAAATGATTTTATAATAAATTAATTCAAATATTGTAATTGGTCATCTTTCCTCAAAATTGGCTCTTAGTTACCTGTGTTAACATGGAGGTGATTTTTATTAAAGGCATGCTTAGAAGAGTTCTAAAACTCACCATTAGGAGAGAGATATAACTTCTCTGCTAATAAAAGCTGTGATGAATTCGCCTGAGCATGTGAACAGTATAGAAAACTGATGATTTTCAGGGGAGAGGAGCAGGGTTTGAAGGATACAAAGGAAGGGGAAAGACAGGCACAAGCAAGGACATTCCTGGATGACATACCCAAGAACATCAGTTCTTGGGACTCAGAGGCCAGTGGAATTAAGAAAGCCACATACTTATAGCAATAGCACAATTTCATAAATGTCAAACATTTCATAAATGTTCATTTGAATGATTTATGAGGTGGGTTGAATTGAAGGAATTAAACTAGTAGAATTAATAATGATGAGAACTAAAAGGGGATATTCAGACTTTAAAAGTAGATTGTTTTATATTATGAACAATTTTATTCTTAAAATGGTATTCATATTTTAACATAATGGAGCAATGAAATTAGATAGATCAGTTTTACCAAGCACTGGATGTCGTGATGTAAAGGATAAAACTTATACTCAATTTAAAAATATTAGAATACCTTAGATATGTGGAAATAAGCATGTCATATTTAGAGCACAATGAAATATATTTCATAAAATATTTTCTTTTAATACAAGAACAAATAATATTTTCTAATTTGTAACTTCGTTGTGGTGTTGTGATTGTTTTCATGAAAGAACAGTAGCTATTTTGATATGTAATTTGAAATGTGGCTTATTAGATTTTTTTTAGTTACTCTTGTATATACAGTACTTTTGAGTGAGTAACATGAATATTTTCAAAATCAAGTGGCTTTAATGCACACTCTTCAGCCAGAAATTTTACTCCTGGGAGTGTATTCTAAGGACTAGTTCAAAAGAAAATAGCTCTTTGTGTAAAAATGTTACAGACAACATTGTTATTTATGATAGTAAAAAACAACTAGACCAATCTTAATTTCAAAAGCAAAACAGAGAGAGAAACAGTTAAGAAAACCATGATATATAGACACATATATGAGGGAACATTATTCTGCAGTCATTTAAAATGAAAAAGAAGTCTTAGAAAAGAAGACTAGAAAATTATTACAAATAGTATTAATAGCAATTGATATATACAAATATTATTTCTGCATAAAAGTTTAATACGTTTATAAAGTTTTATTGGATTGGAATATAACTTGAAAAAATGTAATAGGATATAGGCTTATGGATGACTTATCATTACCTCATTTATATATTTAAATTGATTTAATAGTATCTTGAATTAAATGACCTTAAAATGGGTGGAAAATGTTTTAGTCTTAATCTTACTAACATAACATATTTTATAATTTTAATAATAAAATTATTAGTAATTTTATATTGATTTATAGGAATTAACTATTTCATGCTCTTAAGTCATACATGTGTCCAGTAATTCTTTCCTACTCTTTAGTTTTCAGTTTATCTATTTCATGCACAGACTATTGAGTGAAATTTCTAAGTTAGGAAATGCTTCTAATTAAAAGATTCAAAGCTTAAAGTTTTAGTAATGTAAATACCTAGACTTATGCTAGATAGACAGCTTGGATAGGAAGTGGGTTGATAAAGGATTTAGTAAGGTGCAGACATAGACTTATAGATTGAAAGGAACCTCAGAGTTCCCCATCCAAGTTTGGACCAGTGGGGTGTCTATGAACAATTTGCAGGAAAAAATTCCCAGCCTGTCAGTAATCTACTCATAACTGTGGGAATCCAAGAGCTAGTCTTATTGTTCAAGGACATGGATCTAATAACTAATTCAGTAGTCATCAGAGAATCACTTATATAAATGCCATGCAAACTCTGATTTTGTTATTTCGACATGTAGCTATCATTTAGAAGAGAATGCTTTTTAAATGTGTTGTGAATGAATTGTATGCATTTTTTTTTCCTAAAGGGTTTAGGTAGTCAATATAAATTACACTGAATTTACGTATTCAACAAACATGTTAACTTTCATTCATTGAAATATTTATGTGGATATATGGGATGCTAAGGTTTGTCATTTCCAATATTATAAGTATCTATTACAGATACTGGTCTTGATGCTTAGTTTAAAAAGAAAGGAAACTCTTTTGAGAGTTCAGTGCACTGGGAATTTCTACCAATATTTCTCTTCTAAGGTAAAATGTTACATGTTACCTGGATATTGTTTGTTGCATTCCATTTAAAGTTCTCTGTTTTCTCTTTTTTAAAAATGCATGTGTTTTCTCCACATTGAGAACAGAGAATGTTAATTCAAATGTAGCATGGGATGTCTGCCTATTGATATTTTCATCTGTACTGTATGTGAAAACGTTGTCTGTGAAGGAAAAGTTTAAAGAATGAATGTGGATAATTTGCTGTTAGACTATGTGGTTTATTTTCTGCTTGTCTGAGAAAACACTGGAGCATAAGTTTGTATGAAGATGTCTCTACTTCCTATTCTAGTGGTTTGGTGTCCATGTTTTTGCCATATTCCTGGCCTTTGAAAAATCAATGGGACTAAACCCTGACTTTTCCTCAAAGCTCAAGCAGACTAGATTGTAGATGTGTTCAAAACATCTGAACCTTGGTTATTTTGATTTAATTTTAAAGAACCTTTCAAAATATTTTAATTATTAATCCTGCAGAAACCCTTTATTTGGTTTTTTTTTTTCTTTCCTCTTGGTTTTTTACAACAGGAAATATTAAATGTCAAGAAAAGTACCATGCCATTATCCAAATTATCTTTTAATTAGCACCAATTTAAACATTGATTACATTGAAAATCATTTCATTTCAGCCACAGCGTCCTGTGTTTACTCATGAAAACATTCACGGTGGGGGGGAACCGTAAGTATTCTTCTATCTTCTAAATTCAAGACTAACCCTGACCCACAGCGCAGACAACTGATGTACCAAGACTAAAAATGGTACAACTTTTCAAGTGAAAGAGATCAAAATGTAACTAACATTAGACTTCCCAAATTAACAGAAATTGATGTATTCTCCATCTTTTATGACAGAGATCAGAAACTAATTTTTAAAACAAACCCTTGATTTTCCAGAGAAGGTTTTGATTGATGCACTAGAAAAGCCTTCCAATACTGCAGTGATTCCTGAGATGTACAAATCTGTCTCCGTCTCTGCTCTCCTGGAGGCCATGTAACTACAGCTTTAAAGATATACAGAAAATGTACTAACATTGTTTTTACACCTGTTCAGAGACTGTAGAAGTAGACCTAAATGTAAAAGTAGACCTAATGTGATGTTAATAACATAATTCCAAAGTTACACGCTTAGAAGTGTCTTTTCAATGTGACAGTATTAAAATCCTCACTGTCATTCAGTTACATATTACTTCCACAGCACCAGGAAAATGCCTTTTTTAACTTTCCTTTCAAATTCCTTCTCCTTTTTGATCCATAAATTAAATCAACCTGAAGGTGTTACACATTGTTTTTAAGATTCTCTCACCAAGACTGGTCTCACAGAGTATAGCCAGAGGGCTTTCTTGTCGAGGGAATGTCTGTATCATGAAAAGAACAGGTTAGAAGTAATAATCATTTAAAACTTAACTTCATTGGAAAACTTTAAATGTGACTTGTAATTCTAAAGTTATTTCTTCTCTTATTCATGCAATGATAGAATGACATCACAAAGAGTCAATTCCAGGGCTGTTCAGGTTTCTTACATTACCAACACATCATATTTGTATTTAACAGCCTTTAAGGAGTTTATGAATGAAAAGGTGTGTTATGTTACACTATTTTTTATAATATGGAGTTAATACTTCCAACCTAGTCATTTGGTTGTGATGAAATCATAGAGCCCACCCTGGGAGAAGGTGCATTTTCAAAGTCCTGCTTTGGACATTATAAAACATTATAAATAATTCTTTATTAGATTTCTATTTGATTACAGCCTGAGTTAGTGGGATTATGGGGTGTCACTTGATCTCTTTCATTTAAAATATAGGTTTTGAATGAAAGTAGGAACATAATGTTATGTCACTGCAACTAAAAGTTTTGATGAAATATATTACAGAAAAGGTTGCAAGCTATAGAGAAAGCTTTAGATTTGGCTTATCATTTCGTATTTAAAAGACACATTTCTTTTTGAGGCATCCTAACCCCACCACCATCATTCATTTCACCAGCACATCTTTCAAAACAGCATTTTTAAATTGTAATTCGACTGCATTTCCTGTCTTGCAACACTGATTTTGAAAGCCAACAGAGGTAGGAGGATTGGAGGATTTCTGGTAGGAGGTTTGTTTATGTTTCCAGAAAACTCTTTTTTTTTTTTTTTTTTTTTTTTTTTTTTTTTGTGGTCTAATTAAACCAGAATGGTAAGTAAATTTTGACAAGCATGCTGGCTTTCATCATACAAAAATGAAGTAGGAGTCTGAGACAATTTTGGTTTCTTAGCTCTTGGGACCTTGAGATTCTTCAAGCAGCTGGGATTTGTGGACTTAAATAGGCCTGTCTCAGTAAATGGCTGGAGATGCGCCTGGGTGAAGGCTGTAAAGCCTGAGAAGCTCAACCAGAGAATCAGTTTTCCCAAAGTGAAAGATGCAGTGTGTATCCACAGAAATAATAGCCCAGGAATGACCATCTCCCTCAAATGTGAAATAGCAAAAGGAACCATGTTGAAGTCACCTTTCCCCATGGATATACAAAGTATATCATCCCTATACTGAGCAGCCTCAAAATCAAACCCTTAACACAAACCATGAAATAACTTGACTACTATAAAGACCGACCCAGTGCACACATGCAAATCGGATGATGTTTGTGTTGAACACCTCCCAGGCTATTTGCACACTGCTCTGGGATTCCGGCTACCTTTCTCTACCCTTCCTCACAGCCAGAATTCTCTCTCAACAAAAGACCTCAGAAACCCATTCTCAAAAGCATGCAAGTGGCTGAAAACGTTTCCTAGAAGGACAAAGTATTAACAAGGGAAGAAATCTCTAATGTCGAAATCTCAGGCTTTGATACCAAGCCAAGAAAGGTAATGTTTTCCAGGAGAGGGTGTTAGGACCCTATCTTATCAGCTCTTTCCCAGACCCTCCTGAAGCCAACTTTATCCAGGTACCAACCTGAAAAAGTCCACAGACAGGGAAGCCTGTGCATCAAAGTTCCTTCTTTATGACGTGATATTTAAGTTCAAGTTTTGTTCTACCAAAATATGATTTTCTGACTCAATAATGTAATTAGAAATAGATCATTCTCATTCCTGAGCAGTACTCAAAATTATCAACTTTTAAAACTGGTTTAAAAAAAATCCAGTGTCCTAGAATGTGGTTCTTATTTTCTTACATTAACCGAATTACATAATTTACAAAAGGCAGCAGCAGAAACAAATTCACCAGTTTTTTTAAAAATTCCCCTCATAGTACTGATAATATTTTAGTAATTTATTAAGTAATAATAATTATTATTATTAGTTTTCATGTTAACTGCATATCAAATTCTTCCTGACCTCCTCAGCTGCTGTAGTTTCTATCTTCGCTTTCCAAAATGCCAGTTCATGTTAATATTCATTAAAATACATGCTATTTTATTAGCAAAAATTCAATGTCTGAATTTATTATGGGTCGATGTCACCATAATATATGCTCTCAAAAAATTCAGGCAGGGAAAAGAGAGTCGTAGCATTCAATTAGCCATCCTTCTTTATATAAAATTATTTTAAGGGAGAGTTTAAATCAAACACAATTTCTCCAAGACCCATTTTAAAAAGGAATTTATGTCCATAATCGACTGTATGAGATTGGCTCAGTAATAACTGAGCATAGGGTATGTCCACTCCATTTCATAGGTGAATTGCATCAGATTTTCAAATTCTAAAACCAGAAGACCCTTATTCAAACTATAAAACAAAACTGCTTTAAAGAATTTCTCTTGGCGAAAAAATAACCTTCCCTTTTACAGTAAAAATATGTCTGAGACATTTTGTACATTTTAATTTAGAATCATTTGAAAATTCAATTTGCAAGTCTCAGTTATTTGTTTTGATTATGGCTAGCTAAAATGCTGATTCCTTCTTGTTTTCGTACAGCTGAGTAATGCAAATATCATCTATTTTATATTATGTACTACTATTAATGTCTGGATGATAAACATTATCACTGAACAACTGAAATGCAGGTCTGACTTATACATGTTAAAATATTTTTATCACGAATGTTACAGTCTTCCATGAATATTCCTCATTGTGAGTTTTGCAATGTTATTAGAGTTATCTAATTTCCATGAAAATCTAGATATTTCTGTTTACTTTACATACTTACCAACGACTCATACTACCTAATATGTTAATAGTAATAGAAATGTCAAAGGTAAAATGAATACTGTACTATCTTCTATAGTTTCACAAAGGTGTAAATTTTTTTTTTTAAACACACCTTCTATCCTGTTTAAGGTTTCAGGCTCTGTATAACTATACTCCTAGGAACGAAGATGAATTGGAGCTCAGAGAAAGTGATGTCATTGATGTGATGGAAAAGTGTGATGATGGATGGTTTGTGGGTACGTGTTCATTTCTTTCCAGGCACATTTGGCTCTTTTATCGTTTGCTTGAGTTTGCTCACTTGCATGGTTTGCTTTCTCTGAAATCATAGTGCCTTTGATCTTTCCTGCATCTGTATGCACAGAGTAATCCCAAAGCCATTGCATTTTTAATATAGTGTTTACTGCTTCAGGTATATGTGATGTTCTCCTAGTTCTATTTCCAAGTCATCTGAGAGATGAAAATTTCTTTAAATAGCACCAACCAGGAAAGACTGAGATCTCAGAACAACAACAACAAAAATACATTCCCCAGATGAGAAATATGAATGCTCTGTTCAGTGGAAAATGTTAGTTGTCGACACTGAGAATCTAATTTGGGGCAGGGGAGGTGAGATTAAGTAAACAACCTGCCCATTTACTAGGTCTGATGTAGGTACCCTACAAGTCCAGTGACTCACCTTAGCTTTAATTTGTAGTATGGTGGAGAGAAGCTCCACTTTTTTTTATTTATTTTTATTTATTTATTTATTTATTTATTTATTTATTTATTTATTTTTGTCCTTTTTTAGACCGGCTGCACCACGCTCAGCCAGTGAGCGCTGTGAGCGCACCGGTCATCCCTATATAGGATCTGAACCCGCGGTGGGAGCGCTGCTGCGCTCCCAGCGCTGCACTCTCCCAAGTGCGCCACGGGCTCAGCCCAGAAGTTCCACTTTTACCACTTAAAAGGCAACCCCATTTTACCATCTGAAAGAAGACTAGAAGTTCTCTGAGAAAATATTTGTAGACAGAAGTATCATGTACCAGGACACAGAGGAAAGAGGTGAAAAAGAAATTCATGCATAGGAAGATAGAGACCAAAACATGAGGGAATGGGGTTTCTATAGACAGGCTCATCAGTGCTGAGATAAAGAACTGAGGCCACATTTGCAGCCACAGTATCTGATTCTACTTATACAAATTCCCATCTAGAAGAAAAGTAAAATGGCTTACCTACACAGGGAAAAAAAAGAAAAACGGTCATCAAACCAAGACAATAAGTTCCAGAACGTAAATGAGAATTGAAACTTTAGAGACCCCGTTCACTCTATTCGCACTGGAAATCCTACAGAATTTAGTGCATTAACTCTTACCAAAAACAGAATTTTTTTTTTACAAGGAATTATGTTATTTGAAGTCAAATGCGATCATAATGATGATCATTTGTGCGCTTGGCTTGACTCACCATATTAGAAATCATGGCCAGTGATAGAACCCTCACCCACGATAGTGGTTCATCTTTTTTTTCTTTAGTGACTTGGTAAATTGTTCAAAATTTCTATATTCTATTAAGGACTCTGGCTGTGCTATTTTTAACTGAATAATGCAGCATTGAGCATGATCTTCGAGGAGATAATAAAACTGTTCTGGATTTTGACAGTGTCCCAGATAATGCCTTAATGTCCCATCTGTGTGGAGGAGGCCTCCTGCCCCTGAACCGCCCTTCACTCTTGTGCTTTGCCAGCCATCCTGTCACCCTGCCAGCCTCACCTTTATCCCCTATCCCTCAGCCCTGTGAGGTGGCGTTGGTGCCTGAGGCCTCCCACCCACCTCCTCAGCGGGATTATCTTTCTCTTAGCTTGAGAGGCTGAGCATTTCTGTTTAGCCTGATGTGATGGGAGCTCATCTTTATCCCCTATCCCTCAGCCCTGTGAGGTGGCGTTGGTGCCTGAGGCCTCCCACCCACCTCCTCAGCGGGAGTATCTTTCTCTTAGCTTGAGAGGCTGAGCATTTCTGTTTAGCCTGATGTGATGGGAGCTCATCTTTCATGCCTCAGAGGCAATGAATACATCAGGCAGTACAGCTAAAAATGCTTTTGCTTTTGCTTGTCTTCACTTTTTTTTTTTTTTTTTTTTTTTTTTTTTTTTTTTTTTTGTGGCTAGCTGGTACAGACAGTAAGTTTTGGGGGGTGGTATATGGCGGCCGGTCAGTACAGGGTAGCAAACCCTTGACCTTGGTGTTACAAGGCTGCACCGTAACCAACTCCTGTCTTCTTAAAGTGAGTTTTCTTTCATCTGTTCCAAACCCTTCGGGGGTTACTCTCTGCCTTATCAGTGGAAAGTATTCAGGCCTGCATATGTAAACTGATATTTCATTGTTACTGCGTTTCACTTATTGCTTTTATTTTCAGGAACCTCAAGAAGAACCAAGTTCTTTGGTACTTTTCCGGGAAACTATGTCAAGAGGCTGTGAATCACTCTCCCTCCTTATTTAGGCCACATTTCAGCAGCACATCAGCATAAACTTGCCTGAACCATCCCCGCAGGCATCCCGGTGTCATGCCTTATGGTTTCCAATAACCATCACCATCTCCACCTGCCACCAAACCACCAGCAGAGTAACTGCCACCGTGAGCCTTGGGAGGACACGGCAGACTTGCTTCCATATGCAAGTGCATATCCCTGCTTTCTGCTCCAAACTTTGAAATGTCTATATGTGGGATCAGAAAGAAAATTATTATACTTAAAAAGGGTAAAATATTTGAGGCAAAAACAGAAAGTGCCTCCAGGAGGCTCTCTGGTCTCATGGTTGTATTTCAACATCTCTGAAAGATGTTCTCCCCTCAGGCAACCAGAAGATTGTTTATTATGAAATGCTGTGGTTTGCATTTTCACATTCTTAGCTGAGCAGTCTATTTTTCTTTCACGAGTTTGCCTAGTGTCCTGGTTTACACAATATGACAACTGTACTTCAGCTACTATTTGCCTGCACTTATGTGTCGTGATATGCACAGTGATTACAAAATCTACAGCGAGAGTAGGAAAGTTAATTTGGAAGAGTGTGATTTTGTTCATTGAATGTGAGTTTTCACATAGGAGTCTCTTCCTACAATTTCTTTGTACTTTTTAGAAGTGCAAACAGTGAGTGAGAGCTGTTGGTAATAATCATAAGAAAACAAGAAGTTTAGCTAGTCTATGGAAAAAAAAACTATTGTGTTGTAAAGTTGCATTGCTATTTTATATTAAAATGTAATAATCAGCATCATGAACAATGAGCTCTTAGTGTTTTATTTATCTGATAAAATTTAAATAAAAACAGTGTTAGTGAGAGGTGCAAAGAATTATTCTAACATAGACACTTGAAAGTATCTGTAAGCAATATTCCTAGGTAGGATTTCACTGTGTGTACACATACACATTTGAGATTATATAAGAATATATAGTCCATATGATATGTTGTACATTTTATGGAAATGTAAAAGAATCCCACACATTATTTTATAGAAATAGAGTACTTCAGAAACATCATAAGTATTAAGGCTGGTTTTAGCAAGGATTATTATCAATACAATTATTTTTACTATGATAATTATTTTTCTTCTATGGAACTCAGAATCCTGGCTACATTTGAGGACAGGAATATGTTGAGCCTGATTTTCCTGGTGTGTGTAAAATACTTCCTAGAAATAAATTAGGCACTTTTTAGTGATGATGTTAAATCATTCAGGTTATATTTTCTGCCCTGAAGCAGAAATTTACAAAATGATATTGGAGCCTGAAAGATTTAATATGGTTAACAGTGCCTGAATTACACATACCCCAAGAACTAGCTTTGTATTTCTTATGACTTTGCATAAGAACTATTCATCTTTGGATCTTGAGCACCTTATAGAAAAAACTTTTTATGGCATTTCTTCCGTGGACAGTGATTGACCTTTTCACAATGTACGTAGACGCTAGAATTTTGTACATATGTTTGCTCTTTTTTTGTACAGACTATTTAGTTGTTGAGAAAACAGGGGAATTTCCTAATTTGGTCTTTATCCTGCACTTAAATTAAGCTAAAACACTTTCACCAGATTATCCTTTACAAATTTCAGAGATCACAAGCACGCCTTGATAGTGCGATTCTGTAAGATAGCATTTATGCAAAAGTTTATGAATTAAAAGATCTTAGCAGCCAAACTGAAATGTACATAAATACTGATTACAGAAGAATTTTATTAGGAAGAAGGTACAGAAAAATCTTTGAGTAGCCTACCTTGATTACTGTTAAGTTCAGAACCAGCTTTATATTTTAAAGGCTTTGGATTTGAAATTAAGTCAACTGCATGCAGCTTTGCAGATAAAAAAAATAACTCTCTTTGATGCCATTTATGAGAAAAAACTTCAATATCTGTTGCCTGTCATATTTACAAAATATTACTGTTTCTATTCTCTGTATCTGATTTTAAAATTAAAAACATTCATACCCAGCTTTCAGGTAATTGACTTTGAATTCTTACAAGCAAAGGTCATTGTGTTTTTCTTGAATAGACATCTAATAAATTTTGCTTGGAAGTATACTTCAGTTCTTCTGCTTGACGTTTATCCTTACCTAAATTGTGTATTTTATTCCAATTTTTAGTTAAACTAAGAGAAAATGCATTTTCTCTGTGTTCCCTTGACACACAAATGGAGAAAAACGTGTCATCATCAGCTTAGAGAGGAGTTATCTTAAACCCACCACCAAGGCTCATTTGCTAAACACTTTAGCTAAAATTGCTCTTCAGCTAAAACAGTACATTTTCAATTATTTCTGCCTCAAAAACAGCTATTTTTTCGAGGAGTTAACTACAAGAAGTTGTAAGTACTTTCCCAATTCAGCTATCTTAATTTTAAAATCCTTGCCCTAAACAGTTTTAGCACCAGTGGCCTAGCAGTCCCTGTTTATACCCACAAACTTTCAAAGAATTTCAAGTTATATGCTGTACTGGGATCATTCCTTTCTGTCACACAAGTAGATAAAAGCTAACTTTCCTCCTTGGATCCTTTCCAGTATACCTTAGTCCCTTCTTGCTCTGTGTTTCAACCCTTTTCTATATCTATCAAATATTCAGAAACACAAACACACCTCTCTTGCCAACTCAGTTATCAAAAATTTTTTGTCCTTCTGTTTCACCTTAATACCCACTCTGGTTCCCTGCATTCCACTGGATAATTTTCACTTCATATAAGCTTTTCACTAAAATATATTCCCTTTGTGTGCAGATTAGAGCCCATAATATTCTTTTGGTCCTGTTTTCATCCAAGCATTTAGGGATAATTTAGGTAAATCTGAACCTAGCCATCCAGGTCAGTGGTAGGGCAACAGAAAGGGACCATCTGATATTCATGTGCCAAATTTTAATCCCTCCTTTGCCTACACCATCACTAAAAACAGGCATGTCCATTTCTGACTTGATCAAAAGCAGAAAGAACCTGTTTGAGTAACTGTCTGTTTTTATAATCATTCACTGCTTAGTCTCTCTTTGTAGGTGGTCAGTTTTTGTGGCCTGATGATTTCTTCCTACTGTTTTTCAGATCTCAACCAAAAAAGGAGATATTCTTTAAAGAATCATTTGTTCAAATGAGACTAAGCACTCCACCAACTTTCAAGTGCCTGCTTGTTTAAATAATCACCCCCTTCCAGATTGTAGCCCTCTAACAGTTGATTATATAAATTATGATTTCAGATTATTTATTCATTATTAATGATTAGGGTCAGAGCACAAGCAGAGATTGGCATTATTAATAAATGGCCAAAGTAGGGATTGGTAAAACCATGGCCTGTGGACCAAATTCAGCCCGCTACCTGTTTTTGTATGGCCTGCAAGGTAAGAATGGTTTGTACAGATGAGCACTGGTGAAGGATTTGCTGATAGGGAATGCTAAGTTTAAACCCCAAATCAGTAAAATGCTATCTCCCCAGAAAAATACTTTCTTTCTTTTCATTAGTAGGTCTATATTACAAACAATTGTACCCTATTATTATGATTATGTTCTTAATCTAATCAATAAAAATCGGTGGAAATGTGTTTTCTCTTTCTTATGCAGTATGTACGTAATGTCCTCAATTTTGCCTCCTGGCCTACAAAACCTAAAATATTTACTATCTATTCCTTTACAGAAAAAGTCTGTGGACCCTTGGTCTATGCTAATTGTTAGCAACAATCCTGGAAACTGACCAGAGAAAAAGGACTATCGAACACCTGCTAAATACCAGGCTGTTACCTATACATGTTCTGTGTCTTTATCCTCACAACAAATCTAAGAGGAAATCTGCTTTATACCCATTTCATAGATGAGAAAGCTGGGACTCTGAGAAGTTAAATAATTTGCTTAAATGTATAAGGTATTATACATAGTACGTGATGGAAATCGGATTCAGAATCTGCTGTGTCTGTCTCCCAAGCCCGTGCTCTTTCTTTTAAACCACCAAGCTTGTGCCAAACACACCGTTGATCAAACTGCACACTCAGAGTTAAACAGCAACCTCTATCTACCTCTACCCTCTCCACCATCCCCACAAACTTTGCTATCATAACAGCATCTCAGTACGCACAGGATAACAATAAAGAATACGCCCAATCCGGCACAAGCGTCTCCTTGAGAAAAGCTACCGTTGGCTTCTAAAAGTACACAGTAAGCAGTGAAGACATAATTTCAGTAGTTAACGTGCATTAACTGAGCATGAGCCTGTCCATGAGGTGTGACTCATTAAGGCACGAGTGAGCCATCTCAGCAGCTGGTGGTGCTTTTGGGAAGTGCTGGTATTGTTGAGCCACTTGGAGACAGGCAAGCCCAGTGTGCTCTAGGAACGTGGTGTGCTTACTGGACATCTTTTAAATATACAAAGCCCCAGGATACACTAGCCATTCTCTGCTGGATGACTCAATAAGTGACCTAGAGCCTTACTTAGCTCACTGCTAAAATCAGCCCCTCCGTAGCTCAGGAAAGTTCCATCTCAGCTCATATATCCTGACCCCAAAAACTTTCAGCACAAGACAGAAATCTGCCTAGCAAATCTTCACCTGTTCCTTTGGGGTTTCTTGTTTCATCCTTTCCCCTAAAATATGATGGGTGACTCAGTTGTCCCCGTGTCTTCCAAAAATAAGTGCCATTTCAAATAAAACTCTTGTTACCATTAACAACACCAGTGGACAAGTGTCAAATCTTGTACTGATACTGCAGAAAGCTTAAGAATGACTTTTTTAAGTGTTTTCCTTTTTTAATTACACAAGCAATAGATGCTTATTGTAGGAAAATTTTTACAATGTAAATGAGCAAAAAGAAGAAACATGGATTCACTAAGGGTCCCTTTTAGAGTACAATCACACTTTGGAATATATCCCTCCAGGGTATTTTTCTGCATATTTATATTAATTTGGGGGGGGGAGTTATGAAGGCAAAAATGAAGTCATACTGAACATATTGTTTTAAATCCCACATTTTTTCTTGAACAGGACTCTGAAGTCACGTTTTCAAGTCAATTTAACATTACCAAGGTCTATAAAAACAGTGAGAAAAAGTCAAAGTCAATCCCCAGTATTCATGAAAATGCAATTAGTTTAAAACCACAAGGCAAGAATTGCAAAATTACCACCAGGCTAGAAAATCTACTGTAATCTGGAGAATTGGTAGAGGAAGCAAAGAAAAGATGCAGACAAGAAAAAAGATATTTACTGTCTCCCTCCCATAAGCATTCACATGCATTAGGCATCTTTACAGCTAAGAGGTGGCTAAAGAAAGACGATAGTACATTGAGAAATGTGGGAACTGTACACAGTTGATACAACATCCAAGCCAGTGGTGCCATCCTGACGGTGATCATAGTGCACAAGTTTTGAATCAAAACTGACACAACAGATGATAATTTATTTTGGAAGTAGATATATTTCAGAAAAATTAGATCTACAATATTTTTTTAATGTACTAGCACAGTGCTTCTCCCCCCAGGGGTGATTTGTTCCCTCCCAGGTAACATTTGGCAATTTATGGAGACATTTGTGGCTGCCACAACTGGGGGTTGCTATTGGCATCTAGGGTGCAGAGGCCAGGGAGGTTGCAAACTTCCCACAATGCACAGGACACACCTCACAACTAAGAATTATCCAGCCCAAAATGTCTGTAGTATTGACGTTCAGAAGCCCTGCCCTTGATAACTCATACTACCTAGGAGAATCATATTGTAAATCACTTTAGGAAAGATTTCTTTTAATCCAGAATTAAAGAGCTGAGCGCCATGGCCATAATGGTCTCCATCTTCTGCTCTATGACGGTAGATCAGGATCCTTTGGTGGAAAGCAGCCCTTCCACCCAAATTCTGGAGGGAAGGCCAGAGTACGTCTAGGAGAGAGTAAGATAATAATTGAGTATGATGCGGTGTAAGCTAAATGACTGCTTGTAGATAAACATTAATCTCCGGAAATTGTCTCTGGGCAAAATGACCATTGTAAAAGCATCTATGTCTGATGCTCAAGCCAGCCCAGAGCAGAGAGGCAGTTGTCACCTAGGGTGACCTCAAAGACAACGTGGGGAGCCAAAATCTGGGCGTGTGAGGTAAGACAAGTTTGGTTATTAGTAAGCAGGTCACAAGTTGCATGGCATGGGTGGCACAGAAAAATTCCACCTCCCTCTGGAAGACATGCAGACTCTAGGAAACTCATGGCAAGACTAACCTGGGCTCTCAGTGAAAACTTCAGTGATGCCACCTCGTCAGGCTTACAATGGGGCATCTGATTGTGCCCCTTTATCATTCGCACTATATGCAATATGAGTCATACCTTTGTTTCTAGCAAGCACAGTGGGACTCTTCTCTCTAGGAACATCTGTAGTAATAGTAACTGTGTGTTTAAATACAAACCAGGAATTCGGTCTTTGCTATGGGCCAAATTGTGCCTCCAAAATATATACATTAAAATCCTAACCCCCAGGACATCAGAATGTGACTATATTTGGAGACTAGGCCTTTAAAGAGGCACTTAAAGTAAAATGAGGTCATATGGGTGGGCCTGAATCCAATATGACTGGTGTCCTTATAAGAAGAAGAGATTAAGACACAGACGTGCACAGAGACAAGACCATGTGAAGACACAGAGAGAAGACAGCCATTGGCAAGCCAAGGAGAGAGGACTCCAGAAGAAACCAACCCTGCCAACACCTTGATCTCTGACTTCCAGCCTCTAGAACTGTGAAAAAATAAACTTCTGTTGTTTAAGCCACCCAGTCTGTGGTACTTTATTATGGCAGCCTCAGCAGACTAATACAGTCCTTCTCTCAGCTACACCCATTTCTGCCCACTCCTGTGCTCCCCAGTTCTCAGTGGATGATATATGCAGAAGACCTATCTTGTTCCAGAGGGTGATGACCCCTCCTCCCAATCCCAGCCTCAATTTGAGATTTGCATATAAAAATAAGATATAACAGAGGATAACTGTTGAGTAGTTCAGTTTATACCTCCACAGAAAACACTCCTCTCCCCTACACACACACACACACACACACACACACACACACGCAGAACACCGCAATAAACAACAACCAGAGGTT